TGATCTAATCTGACGAACTCATATTTTTCCGAGGGGTAGGTATACCACCAACCAGTCATATTCCCATGACATTCCCACTAATCTGAGCAACCCAATGCCATAAACCTACCATGACTGGGGATGGTAAACATACCACGCATAAAAAATGTGATTTTGGGGATGGTTTATTCTTGGGTTTACCACATTATGGATATTATTCTTATGATCAATACTGAGATATGAATAATTGGATTATGTCAATGCATCGGGATGTGATGCACTTTTTATTGGGAATATCATGGGATATGTTCGTGACAAAAACGATGACCTTAGCCGGGCTGAAGTGTCATCATCCAATCTGGGTCCAATGGAAATCACAGATGATCATCCGATACAAAAGCAAGATTACCCGTATCAGTAACATTAAGGATAGCTCTGGCAATGAAGTACTGTATCCAATGGAAATCACATGGAAATCAATGGTTAAATATGGAAATGATATGGAAATGATATGGATAGATCATCTATTTTCACTAACTTCCCATCCTCGATCCTAGGTCCAGACGCTTCGCCCTTTTTGTGTCGGCCGTGTGCCGTCCGCGCGACAGAGGCAGGGTAAAGAAAATGACCAGGTCATTGACCATCGCCCAAAGCTGGAGGAATAAAAATGAATAAGATTTAGGGATTTAGGTATTAACATATCTTAACATATCATATCCAGAAAAAAAACACCACGTGTTTGATTAACATCTCCATCGTGTTTGACATTTCATCTCCATCTCAATCACCTTCCACATCCTCACGTGCAGCCTGCAGGCTACATTTCCACCATGGCTGTGATACTGATGGCGTCCATTCAGCCAGCTGGTGCCCTTCCCGGTGAAGGGAACTCATCCGGAACAACCACCGGATCGCATGATTTCGAGAGTGGCACCAAATGAAACCTCAAGTCTGACAGTGCAGAATGTGTTTGGTATGTTTTGAAGACTTCAGATGTGTTGCAGGATGTTGCTGACATGGGATAAATTGTGGCCAGGCTGCACGTTGCTGTTGATCATTGCTTGCGTCGCCTGAAGCCAAGCAGCAGTAGCCTTTTTTTATAGCCAGGGCGGCACAAAGTTCTTGGATTCTTTTGGAAGTGTTTGTTGATGTTGACAGATTGCTGTTCTGGTCGTTTCCACATGAACTCTCATCATCCATACAGACAGAAATCAATAGGAGTACGCAGACAGACACCAATGCTAAAGGGCATGATCTGCGGGTGATTAATTTCCAATTATTTATATGTTCAGAGGTGCTTTTGGTTCAGTCCCCATGGGCAAAACCACATGTTTGATTCCCCAGTCTGACTTTGATTGTCAGGCCCAATGTGGTGCAACGAAGGCTGGTGGCATCCAATTTACTCCTGGGGCTAATTCGGGCCAAAGAGTGTTTAAGTGGTGAGAGCCTCAACAGAAAGGACGAACAGTGAAGTTGTTTTACCTATGACCGCTAGACATGAGTAGGATGTGTACGATGTGTTTTGTGTTACTCTGTGTTGCTCATAGTTAGAAAACGAAAACAGGATTACTGTATAAGGATGGGTCCAGTCCCATGTCCAACCGCAAGAGATGCCAAGAGATGCACTAGCCGCAGGCCTCCCCTTTGCTGGGCACTTCTTCGTTGCTTCTGGGACCTTACCTTCTGTTGCTTGGAAAGCATTTAACCTTGACAAAGCTATGATGTATGACATGGATTTTCATGGATCTTCTAGATTGTTTTAAGGGATGAGTTTGACCCCGACAAGACTCTCGTTTTGAAAGTAGGGCGCTTCTTGTCCATGCTATTTGCCGTGTCACGGGCTCCTGTTCTGCGAAGCGAGGTGCCAACTTCCATCGATGATTTTCGCCGTCGCTTGGACCAGTTTCAGTCTAAAGAGGCGTGGCACTTCGAAAGTTGAAACACAAAGGTCCCCAGGGGCCAAATGCAAACACTACAGCCATGCCTCTGAGCCATTTCTCATCATTTCTCTGTTGAGTTACCTTTTCTGCGATTTTTTTCTCCGTTCTCTTTCTCTTGCTCCGTCTCTTGGTAGAGTGGTGATTTCAGGCATCCCTTTATGTGCCAGGTGGGCCATACTCTGCTTGTTTTGTACATAATATGGTCAAGGGTCGAATATTGCAATTTCAACTGTAAATGCTCCAGTGTGAGAAGCTACAGCTGACAGTCGAGCCCTTCATTGTCATACTTGCAGATTTCCTTTTGAGACTTGGGTTGCGACGGGCTTCTATGAAGTATTTGTATGAGTGTTCACCAGTTTAACCTCTAGGAAGTGGGGGTCTTAATATACAGTTCTTGAAGTGCCACTCGACACCAACTTGCTGCACGTCCATGTTGTTGACAGCTCCAGCACCGTCCGGACTGGTTAAGGTATGGTTGTTGTTGGGTCAGCACAAGGAGGCTTCAGCCCCCTTCTTGCAGCAGGGAGACCCAAAACCGACTATCCGTTTTGCAACTCGTTGATGGACCAACCATGTTTTGTGTCTCATTAATTCTCATTAATTCTCATTAATTCTCCTGTTTATTTCTCTGTGCCACAACACAGGATTTTTGTCAGGTGTTGGATGTTAGTGAAGACTTTTATGGCTCGACTTGTGGTGGCTCCAACTGCAACCCGGATTGTGCTATTCTTTCAGCAGGAATTGGGGTTACAAGATGTTACAAGACAGTTGCAATCTTTATATGGGAAGTTGACTGTGGCAAAATGTTGAACACGTCCAACAAAGGTCTGGCAACATGTTGATGTAACTTGATTTGATCTGATATGTAACTTTCTGGTGTTCAGAATGTTTGCATCATACTTTCTTGGAGCCGGGTTTTGTTGAAGGTTCACCATTATTCAGCCCTGTTTTTGTTGCATTCGATGATGCCTACATAGGTCCAAGTTGGATCGTGCCCTACCATCCTCGCAGCATTTGCCAACTCTGTGGGTGCAAAACCCAGTGGCAGACAACAGGGCAGGGAGATGTAGTTGCAACCAGTTTTTAGTCTTATGGGACAAATGGATGTAATATGATGTAAAAATATTGTATAAATATTATATCCCCATATACACATGTTGTACACATAGTATCATTGGTCAAATCCCTAATCTATCTACAAATGATATATATGTATAATATAATATAATATAATATAATATAATATAATATAATATTGTATAATATTATATTATATTATATAATACAATACAATATAATATAATATAATATAATTTAATTTAATTTAATATATAATATAATATAATGTATAATATAATAAAATACAATATAATTTATATAATATAATATAATGTATAATATAATATAATACAATATAATTTATATAATATAATACAATATATAATATGATATAATATATAATATAATATAATATAATGAAATATAATATAATATAATATAATGTAATGTAATATAATATAATGTAATATAATATAATATAATATAATGTAATTTAATATAATATAATATAATATAATATAATATAATGTAATTTAATATAATATAATATAATATAATTTAATATAATGTAATATAATATAATGTGATATAATATAATATAATGTAATATAATATAATATAATGTAATATTATATAATATAATGTAATGTAATATAATGTAATATAATATAATGTAATGTAATAGAATATAATATAATGTAATATAATATAATATATAATATAATGTAATGTAATATATAATATAATATAATATAATATAATGTAATGTAATGTAATTGATATATTATATATATTATATTATATTATATTATATTATAATATATTATATTATATTATCTTGTATAATATATATACCTGTTCTGAGAAGCTATTGTCAAGTTCAGGCTCGCTTCCAGGGGTAAAAGGACGAACTCCAGGAGTGTTTCTACCAACCCTGGTCTTGATTCGGCCGCTCCAAGGCAGACTCGTGGCTGAGCAAAGATCCGGATCTACGACCCGCAGGGAACTCAGGCCTCGGCCAGGAGCAGCTTTGTGAAATGTCCAACCAAAAAATGGGACAAATGAGAAGGATTTTAATGGATTTTTATGGATTTTAATGGTTTTCCAATGGTTTTCCAACTTTGTAAACATGATTTTTCATGGTGTTCCATGGGTATTTATAGGATTTTGTATGGGATTTCATTTCCAATGGCTTTGATGATAGAAGATTTTGTAGGGGATTTTTCACGTGGATACAATGGGTTCTACCCTTCAGTAATCAAACATGTCTGGGAAATTTCCGAACTAGCTGGATGTTGCTGGGAAAATCATCAAACTAAATGGCAAGCAAGCCATGTCTGATTACTGGAAGGTAGATGTCAGAAAATGTACTGATATATGCATATATATGTTATACTATCAGACTATCAGTGATCATCTTACCTACCAAAGCAACTGTAAATCTATGTTGATCTACCTATAGCCTATATATATATGTAATTATACTTGTCTACCTTCTAGTAGATCAACGTAGATCAATGTAGATCCTGTTCCAAGTGGGAAAACCGTCGATGTTCAAATCTATGTTATCTATGTTGATTTACCAGAAGGTTAACCGTAAACCATGGATTGCCGCATGACAGGGTTCAGAGGTTTCAATTTCCCCTCAAAACAATCCATTGATTGAAAAAAAGAGGTGACCAAACTGGGCCTTCGCAACGCTCAGGTTTTGAGTTTGTTGGCTCCCTCAGCCACTTGGCCCGATGGTTTTGGTTTTTAACCCGGAAAGTCAGGGTAGGTTGTGGCGAATCCAGACCATGGTGCAGAATACATCCTGATTTCATGTTGTTTCATCTTGTTTCATGTCGTGTAATCTCACCAATATTGAAGATCCGCAAGAAACCCATGGTTTTTCACACGAAATCACATCCTTGGGGCCAGGCTGGGGCTGTTTCATGGCGCCACTTGAAGATTGATAAAATGAACCCAGTATACATCATCTCCTTTACCGGAAATCATTGGCTTTCCAAATAACCAGTGGCGATGCCTGATATTCTCTTTCGAGTGGCTTCACACTCCATCCTAGATCCTAGCCCCCTCTGCACGACATGTTGAGGTTTAACATTGGGCTGCCAAGGGGTCTTTTTCTGTCCTGGTTGGATAGGTGGTTTATTTCATTTCTGGCACTCTGAACCCTGAAACAGATTCATTTCTGGCTGTCCAACTTCGATTCTGTTTGGTTTTCTATTCAGAGCTACATCATGCTACATCTATGACCCAAAGTTTCTGACCGGACACGGCTGGCTACAGCTTGGGAAAGCATCTTGAGGTCACATTGTGTTGCTGCATGGCGAAAGGCTGCAGAGGGTCTAGGAATTGGGAAAGGGACGACAAACGTCGGTCTGTGGATAGAAGTAGAACATCCGAGTTGGACAGAAAAAAAGTGGAACAAAACAACTGGCCATTCATTGCTGCACTTGACCTCGACACCTCGAACTGCTTGGTGCTTCGAAAGATTTATGGCAATGGGTGTGTTTGAAAGTGGAGTAAGACCGGTATACCCCCAAATTATTATATATTCTTATCATTTTATGGAATAGAAACAGGGCATTTTCCATGGATTTTCCAATGAATTGAGGAACATTATTCACATCAATTTACTACAAAACATTGGATTTTCCGGTGGATTTTCCCGTGGATTTTCCAGTGGCGGAAGGTCCACACACCGCCCAAAGGTCCATCTTCAGCGCCCAAAGCCGCGGAGTGGGCGATGTGCCTTGAAATATGTTGGGTCGATTGGTCGATTGGGATGGACTCCCCCCAATTTATGGTCATTTTCTGGTTGGTGCTTTGGAACTTTTGTTTTCCATATAATTATTGGGAAGCATAATCCCAACTGACTCATATTTTTCAGAGGGGTTGAAGCCACCAACCAGATGGTCATTTTCATATATTTCAGATAAGGAAAACTGGGAAAACAGATGGAAGATTTGAACAGCTCAGAAAAGATGACGCGTCAAATTTGCGCGGGACAAAGCAATTTGTTGATTTCAAGTCGCCGACGAGTCATGGAGAATAAAGCCACCAAACGGGGAGGGGGTGAATCGTTCGTTTATGGAGGGTTGAGTTTAACTACCAAAAATGGAAACTGTGGTGGAGCGCAACAAAAAATGCGGGGCAGGTAGATGGTTGCAGCTTTTATTGGGTTTTAAGATGTTTCAAGTCTGTTTTGGTTTTCCACTCCAACTAGGAAAGATGATCTCAAGTTGAAGTTGTTGTTGTTGTTGTTGTTGTTGATTTGTTGTTGTTGTTTTTGTTTTTATGGGTATCGATTGCAATCACAACCAGTCATTTAAGCTTGCAAGTTCCAAATATGGCTTGAATCAGGCAATCGCCCAGATTGGATCCCACTTTTCAGTTCGAATATACCAAGTCCATCCAAGTCCCTTCACCAATTGCCCAGTTCCTCTTGATGCCTTTGCCAGATTTGCTGTGCTACTTCAATACCCTGGCTTTCCCATGAAAATCTTTGGTGAACGTGTACAGGCAACAGCGAAAAACATCAACAAGAACATGGTAACATGGCCATGACTAATACAGACACTTCAAAAGGATATATATATATATGAATATATACATTAATATATCATATATCCCAGTAAGTCTGATTTATCTTGACCTTAGGAGGATGAGATTAGGTTATCTAAGATATATAAATATGCATACTCATCCCCCCAATAGTAGAAAATCATGGGAAAGTCGTGGTGCCAGCGTAAGTTATGCACTATCCCTTTGGGAAGCTCCGTTATGAGGTTGACCTTATCCGTGGCGGTGACCGTCTATGCCGCATCCTCCAGTCGCCTCTGGTGGGCGTGTCAGTTGGAAGCTCGGAAGCCATGCGAAGTTCCGTTGGATCATATTGGAACCCATATTCCTTAGAATCCAATATTGGAACTCCAGAATCAATATAGAAATATTGGATCATATAGAAATTCCAGATTTTCTGGTAATATAAGTATCATTAAGTATCCAATATTGGAAACCACAGAACTTACTGGATCATACTGGATCCCATATTCTGATCTGTGTGAGGCCAGTCTTCCTGGCGCAGATGCTCGTGGCGCTTGCGTCCTCGCCGAAACAGGAGCGCTTCGACTGGGTTTGTGACGTCCCCAAAAAGATCAAACTCTTTGTCCAGATGGTATAGTATGTATAGTATGATATTGATAGAATCTTTACATACATTATATATCATTGTAACATGTGACAACATTATCTGGTTTTTAATGGTTTTTAACCATCTTGAAAAATGATGGAGTTCGTCAATGGGAAGGATGACATCCCATATATGAGATGGAAAATAAGGAATGTTCCAAAGCACCAACCAGTGTATCATCAGTATACCAACCATGGTTCATAGATATTAATGGTGATTGATGGTCATATTAATGGTGATTATTAATGATCATAGTATGTATATATATATATATTATATCTGGGTAAATTATAACGACCTCACTGCGACCTCACTGGAAATCATGTTAATAAGGGAAAATCATCCCCAAATGGCCTTAATTCAGGTTGGTGAAATATTATAATTTACCGAGATATATACATTTACCCCATTTCGGCTTCCCATGCTTCGAACTCTTCGAACTTTGTCAGGCCAAAGTGGATTAACGGGATGTCATGGCATCGCCCGCTTGCATCGCTGGAAAAAGACGACGGGATTTTCCATGGGGATTTTGTGGTGATTTTAATGGGGAATTCACCAACCAAAATGGGGATTGGGAAATTGCCTCTTGGTAATTTGATAATAGTTAATATAGAGCTATTAAAAGTTGCGCATTTATAGATCATTTACCTATTAAAGATCGTGATTTTCCATAGATAGTAGCCGGAGAGGAGTGGTTTTTATCCGATAGAGGTATTTAAAATCTAAACGCCATAATTTCTTGTAGAAAGTGCCAGTATGGTATTTGATTAGATCAGTGAATATTATAGATCAATTTTACCACATTTTACCACTATAGATCTAGTTTCTAGTTCTTGGTTTTGTTGTTACACAGGTGATACTGGACACAGACACAATGCTTGGAAGATCTGGGAGGATTTTTCCATACGCTCGCAGATGGTCTGCGCGAACGTCGCTTAGCCTTGCAGTCTATTGCAGGTGGATGGTCCCAGGGTTTGGGGATGGCTGGTATTTTCTGGGGGGTTTAGGGTTTAGGGTCGTAATGATTGCAACCAAGGTTATTGGAGAAGCATGGTTATCAGTTATCAGTTGTATCTATACCAGAAATTGGGACATAACAGATATAGCATGATAAATGCATGATATAACTGCTATAATCATAGCCATGCACCATACTTATTGAGCGGAACTGCACGCAAGGTCGGGGTGGCTCCTCTGGGGATCTCTGTGGAAACTTCCCCCGGCATGGCTCCTCCGGGTGTCGCTGTGCCGAGGTCTGTATCGAAATCCTGAGAACTTCGTACCACAAGGGATCGAGTTGGTTCCCATGAAAGGCTTCAAGCTGGAGGAGTGATGCGATTCAACTATGTTGCTGGGCCTTTACAAAGCTTGAGCCCACATCCTCGCCGTTGTTCGGGTCCGGTGGTGCTACAAAATCTGCTTGTCAGATCCCTTGAACAATGTCTCGGAATCAAACACAAACATAATGATTAAAATCAGCACATCATAAAATCTGAGAATTTTCTGATTTTCCCATATTTCCTCTAAGATCTCATGATTTTCTGCACCAGATGTCCATGAATTTTCTGCACCTTGAGGACGCCTCATTCGAGCCCAATGCGTTAAAGGTACCTCGTCAAGGCGGAAGCTGCACTGATGGTGCACTTATTTATGGTTTAACCAGAACGGCACCATAACAAAGGCGTTGAATTAATGCGGACTGAATTCTACTTGTGCCTTCTTCAAGTAAGCCATGCATTGTCATCAGAACGACACCGCATGTGAGGGTAGAGGCATTCATTTCTGTATGTTCTCATGGTCCATTTAAGTCTCATCACACAAGACTATCACCAGGTATCCATAGGTATCTGCAATGGAGGTGGGTTCTGCCCATTCCACGGCAGCTTTGGGGAGTTGTCTGGAACTGTCATCGTTGGAGCCTTTGAACCGCTGGCATCCGCTGGCCTTTTTGGTTTCAGGGGAGCCAGGAAATCACGGAGCAGTTTATGACACGGCCGGTGCGGTGAGGTGAAAAGGACACTGGTTGCCCTCTACCCTTCGGGGAGGCTTTCCATGGTCAGAATGCTCCAAACAAAAAGAACATCGCTTAAAATGTTGATGTCAATGGCATAGCAATCAACAATATTCAACAATCCCAAATCCATTTCATTCCATTTCCTTTCGCTCTTGGTGTGTCCTTTCCAGCGACACGGCCGGTTTGTATTAATTTTGGCACGGTATCACAGTCAAAGCTGCTCGGCATTGAGTGGATGTGCTGGGCACCCCAAATCCTGCGACGAGGGGAATGGTCATTTGTTTTGCTGTCTCAAAGCTTGGCCTAGCTTGGGACTTGGTCAACTTATATTCATCCGTCATTCATTAAAGTATGATTCATTTCATTAAAGTATGATTTTTAATGGGACATTCCACTAATGAATCACCATTCATTGAGAGAACTCTGATTGGTTTCTCACGGACAACATCGATGAAAGGCACCACAGGCTCTACCAGGTCCACAGCATTTGTCAGCTTCCCATGTCTCGTTTTTTGGTCGTTGTCTCCGGCACAAAGAACTTGGCAGGGTTGGTTCTTGGAGAGCCAGCTTGCAAACATGCCATTTGGATAGTGATTCATATGGCCTCCGCACAAACGTGAAAGATTGAAAAAACCGACCCTATAGTCCAGGAATGTCCAGGATAGGTAACTTACCTCCGGAGATCAGACTCTTTTTTGTCCGATGGCTGTTGGATCTGACCAAAAGTACCAGCTATTTTTGGTCCAGGGAAGCCCGTTTCGACACCATCCCCAATCCATCTTCAATAGGTCTTCATGAAAAACGTCATAAAAACCTACCTTTTTTGTTCATGGCATATCACACAAATTGCCCAATTGTTTGGTGGTAAGAGTCATATCTGGTGCCAAGTCCAGGTTGAGAGGCTCCTCCACAAGCCATGGGACGCAGCGCAAGTCGGAGCCGCGACGGGGCAGCCAGCAATGGAAAAGACAAGGGCGGCGACGGCAAACGCGACTTGGCACTGGGGATTAGTGGATTTCATGGTCGTTTCATGGTCGTTTTATTGGGGGATTGAATGGTGATTACTAGTCTATACTAGTCAATGGTGATAAAATTGATGAACCCCTATGTATAGACCATTAAATATACTAGACAATTAATGGACTATTGAATGGTCTATTAACGGTGATTTAATTGGTGTTTTTCCCCACCTGCCAGGTGAGGGTTGTTAGATTTTATGTCAGTTGCCTGGTCCTCCTCCTCCTCCTCCTCTCCTCTCCTCCTCCTCTCGTTGTCCTCCTCCTCTCGTTGTCCTCCTCCTCTCGTTGTCCTCCTCGTCCTCCTGCTCAACTGCGACTCGCGATCCACAGTGTTCTCTGTCGGACCTCAACCACGACCATCCACACCCAGTGTTCCCTGCCGGACCTCAACCACGACCATCCGACCATCCACGCCCAGTGTTCCCTGCCGGACCTCAACCACCCACGACCATCCACGCCCAGTGTTCCCTGCCGGACCTCAACCACGACCATCCACGCCCAGTGTTCCCTGCCGGACCTCAACCACGACCATCCACGCCCAGTGTTCCCTGCCGGACCTCCACCACGACCATCCACGCCCAGTGTTCCCTGCCGGACCTCAACCGCGAGTATCCACGCCAAAAGATATGCCACATAGAGTGCCAGAAGATATGCCAGATAGAATGTTAGAAAATATGCCAGATAGAATGCCAGAAGGTATGCCAGATAGAATGCCAGATAGAATGTCAGCTAGAATGCCAGAAGATATGCCAGATAAAGTGCAAGAATGTTTGCCAGATAGAATGCCAGCAGATTTGCCAGATAATATGCCAGAAGATATGCTAGATAGAATGCCAGATGGAATGCCAGAAGATATGCTAGATAGAATGCCAGATGGAATGCCAGAAGATTTGCCAGATAATATGCCAGAAGATAGAATGCCAGATAGAATGCCAGATGGAATGCCAGAAGATATGCCAGAACATATGCTGCCAGAAGATATGCCAGAACATCTGCCAGAAGATATGCCAGGTAGAATGCCAGAAGATATGCCAGATAGAATGCCAGATCGAATGCCAGAAAATATGTCAGATAGAATGCCAGAAGATTTGCCAGTAACAAAATGTATAAATGTCATGGTGGGGATCACACGAAGTAAAGTAATTTATTTGGGGATTCAATGGTGATTTTTAATGGTGATGAATGGTGATCAATCCCATTAAACAGGGGATGAGATCATCAGAACAGGCACTGGTATCGTATGGTATCGTCCAATTTGGTAAGCCTGGTGCTATATGATGAACCTAATACACAATCATATTGAAAATCATTAGTTTATTGATGGGTCCAGAGTGTCCAGAGTCCAGGGTTTTCAAAATTTGACCCATGACTGTCATGTCCTCTCCGGTCGTTGGCCGATTTACCAAGGTGAGAAAGGCACTATTAACACATGGAACAACGACAGGCAGTTCGGTTTTGTCCCTCGTCGCAGAAAGCCACGGAACTGGTTTCCAGGAAACCGCAATCGACAGAGGCTGAGGTCAGATTGATTATTGATTGGAAATTATATTTGATTATTGGAATATGATGTTTATTTTATTGATTGATTATTGATTATTGATGATTGGATTGTTTGGATTTAGATGGCTTCCAGTCTGAAAATCTCAACAAAATCCGTCAAAAAGTGTGGCCCATTTCAAGTGTGAAACGACAGCTCCACGTCTCAGGTTTCCTGCGATAGCGGCCGTGCCTTGTCCTCCAAAATACATTTCTGAACTCAGACCTGTTGAACCATGTTGAACCTTAAATCCGAAACCAGTTGCTCTTGCAACATATTATCCCTCTGGTAAACTTACAAAAAACATCAAAAAACTATGGAAAGATCCACCAATTGAAAATGGGTAAATCCACTATAAATCACCATTTTCAATAGCTATGTTAAATTACCAGAGGGTATCCCTTAAGTTTGGCTAAGTCTTTGTTCGTGGTCCGGACTCGAGATGTTGAGTCGCACTGCTTTGAGTCCGGCTTGTGGGCTGGGCACATCCACTCCGAGGCCAAGATCTCTTCACCCATGCCGAGTACATTACGGACACCAATGCCCGCTACGATGCCAAGACCAGGGGGTTGCGTCGCGGCGACAGGACGGCAGGGGCGGGAGACTTCTGGAGACTTCGGGCGACTGGTGATTTCAGCTTGTCAATGGGAAGTAAAAAAAAAAGAGTGCTGAGTGCAGCATAAGTTTGCAATTTCAATTTTTGAACTCTGTTAGAATGTGTTAGAACTTCAGAAGAACTCCCCCAAACAGACCTACTGCATCTACAGCCCATGACAGCTCCATGAGATTGCTGCCACTGGATACCTATAAGGGTCCTCACCCTAGATCTTTGGACACCCGGCCAGGATTGCCTTTGACGTAGAGGAGCCGCAAGGAAGTAAGAAGAGCATGCAGGCGGGACAGCTGTTGAGTTCATTGGAAATGCTTTGCAAAATAGGTAAACCCTCACATTCGACATGAAATGTGGTAAGCCATGATTAAACCATAAACCCATGTTAAACCCATTAATTAAACCATCCCCACATTGCCCAAGTTTAGCATTTTGATGGCAATGGCGTCAGGCCGTGAATGTGGAGATCCTTGACCTTGCCGGTGGCCTAGAATCGCCTGGTTTAGGGAGAACCAAGGGAGAAATCACGTTTTCCGATGACTGCTTGATGGTGAAATTGAATGTGACATTGCCACAGGTGCTGATTCTGAATGGCGATCAGCACCAATGACTCATCCAACATCGGCACCATGGTGCTTCATTTTGTCCTTGACTGTCCTTGGTTAAAGCATGTTAAAATATGTTGAAATATGTTGAAAGCGTGCTATGAACATTGATAAACATCTATAGACACCATCCTGGCAAAGTCCATTGGTTGGTCATTCAGCCACTGACATCCCGGGACCTGCGCCCTCCAGGTGAAACGTTCCCGTAGCCCTTCGCGGCGCCGAAGCCGCAGCCGTGGCCGTGGAGGTGGAGGTGGAGGACGTGGGCGTTCCAGGTGCTGGGTCTGCCGGCTGGGGTGGTCTGCAGCATTTGGGGAATAGCCTCTGGTAAACGTTTACAAAAAACGATGGAAAATCACCAAGATCCACCATTTTCAATGGTAAAATCCACTATTTCAATGGTGATTTTCAATAGCTATGTTAAATTACCAGAGGGTAATGGAATATTACAATAGTACTATGATCCATGAAAATTGATATGATTTATTGGTGATGATCATATAAAAATCTTGGGGAATATGTCATATTCGTACTTATGTCATATTAATCTTGGACCATGATTTATGTTTTTTTTTTTAATGGGATTTAATATCCTCTTTAATATTCCTTTAAATCGTACTAAATCATATGAAATGCCATAAATATTCCATGCATAGTCCACCATTTTTCCACTAAAATCCCACTCATATTCCACTCATATGCCACTAAAATCGACTAATATTCCACTAATATTTACACTCATATTCCACTCATATGCCATAATATCCATTAATATCCATTAATATCCATTAATATCCATTAATATCCATTAATATCCATTAATATCCATTAATATCCAGTTATTTAACAGTTTGCGAACTTGAAACTAGCCCATTGATAGATGAGAAACATGATGATTTACCGAACTAAAAAATGTGATTTTCCAGTTCGCTCGTGAAATAGCCATGGGGATTTATCCCTATAAAGCCATGGAAAAAAATCTGGGAATATTGTCAGCAATCGATGGGATATTATTTGAACTGCTGGATTTAGCCTACAATATATATATATATATATATTATATAATACATGCATAATCATGCATATATATATATATATGTACATATGCATATATATACATGATATTGTAAGGTGCTATGGGAATATTATGATGATATTATAAGTATATGATGGGAATATGACGGGGACATAGTGGGGATATAAAGGTGATATGGTGGATGTAGTTAACAATCTAACAACATTATATTATGTTGGTGTCTAAAAATGAGGGAATACCGCCCAAATCGCAATTCCTATGGGGATTTAGAGGAAGCCGTTTTTCAGACAAACCTCATATGAATAAACTCATCAGCATGAACTCCCAAGTGGTTTTTGCAGAGTATTCATAGCCAGAATGAATTAGCCTCTGGTAAACTAACAGGTTGCTATTGAAAATGGCCATTTAGTTTGTTGATTTACCTATGAACAATTGTGATTTTCCATAGTTATGTAAGTTTACCAGCGGGTGTATCACTCTTTTGTTTTTTGTCACTCTTTGTCAAACGCACTCTGTGAGTCTCAATGGATGGAGCATTTGTAGCCATATGACAATGTTGAGACTCATTTAAGCCATCAGAAACCTGCAGCAAGACACATTAGATTCAGATTCTCGAATCCTTCGCGCAGCTACAAGTAAGAATTACTAGCTAGCAATTTTTTCGGGCAAGAATCATAGCTGAATGAAATTATCAACTATTAGTTGTTCTTCTCCAGAAATGATATATAGTGGATGAAAACTGTATGTTTTTTTTGCGTAATTCTTGGAGATAATGACCCATTCATTTTTGGGCGAAACTGACGCAAGAAAGTTGGTCAAAGATGTTGGTCAAAATGGATGAAACAATCCGAAAAGTCTGCTGAAATGGTCAGGTATGGCCGCTGTTGAAACCTGATGTTGCTCATTGTTTTCCAAACGTGGGCCATTCCAATAATGAGCCCATGGTAATCTTATATATACCATATATATATGATGGTATATATGATGGTATATATGATGGTATATATGATGGTATATATGATCTTCATATCCATTCCTGCTAATCCCCTCTAATTTGTCCGTGGAATGTCTTGTAAGGCATTGCTTTGATGAATTGTGTCAATACAGTCCTGTCCCGGGCAAAGAGCGCCAAAGTCCACCGCTGATGCCCCCTACACTCTGCTCCTTTCCTGATGTTGCGTGTTCTTTCTCAGTCGAAAACATGTGATTTTAAGTCTGTCCATTTTAAGTATTTGTCAGCAGAATTTTCACCATGTAGTATGCACAACTTGCATAACCAGCATACTTAGTTCGACAAGATAGAGGAGCAGTTCCACATGACTGCAGGTATGTGAGTTGTTTCGTTTTGGTGGATGATATTATGTTAATCTTATTTCATCATCCGCCATGCCATGTGTTTGATGGGAAAGATGAAGCCATATTGTATGATAGTGACATGTGTTTCATGTGATGTTCAAATTGAATCATTGATTTGATCATGTCTAATCTTAACACTGCCTAATGATTAAAACATATTTACGACATTGTACAATTGCATACTCAATGATATTGATTGGGTAATTGTCTAATCAATTATCGATTTGTGGTTAATTAAGAATAATCAACAGTAATAGATAATAGATGTTAATCAACAGTTGCTTCATCAAGATTAATTATGTTGAATTAGTGGTGTAATAATCAACAATACTTAATTCATGATATTGATTGGTGTTAAGCCACAGATCGAACCATGGACTTGCAGGTCGCGAGGCCGCAACACGCGACCCAAAGAACAAAGGGTCTGGGAACCCGGCTTCCGTCATGGAAGGGTGGCAAATATTGGCACTTGAGGTATACTGGGGATGTAGTTAGATAATGTTGCATATTGAGACTCTGTAAGACAATGCTTGAAACGATTGAGATGCTATTGGGATCTGTCCATGTGTTTCTAGTCTCAGTGCCGAAATCAACTTACCGTGAGCAGCCGGTTCATGATTGAGTATTCACGTCGACTTCTTTTGGCCGCGAGACGGTGACTGGCCACCACTTCTGTAACGGCCGGCCGCGTTCACACTGAGGCGGGGGACTGGGAGTGTCCCAAGTGTGGCGATTACCAATTTGCCAGGACTGTAAGAGCGGGACTGGCAGCCCAGTTCTGTTGGATTTGGGCGGTTTTTTGTTTCCATGTCCTGGACATGGCGAAAATGGTCACGGCAAACTGAAAGTGTTCGGTGGACTTCGGTGAGCAGCTGGTGAGCAACTCTTTGTTCTTTGTCACAGGCCCTCGGTAACTGTTATAACTGTTATTTGAATAGAGAACTCAGCAGTATTCGGTGTTTGCGCCAGGAATACGGAGTGTCGGAAGTGCAACTCTGCCGGCATTTGTTGAAAGATACTTCCCTGACCCGAGCTGATTGGTAGTTGGGGATGTTGAAAGATTGAGGATGCAAAAAATCACCGGTTCAGCCAAGCCTAAGGCTTCTCCCAGAGTTCAGCATGGGTTTCCACCTATCCAACCTCTATACTTTGGCACTTCTGAAACGAACGAAACGGAGATGAGTCAAATTCAGAACACATGCTGATCATTCTGAGCTTTACCATCCCATTTGCCGGAAACCATGAGCTTTAGATAGTTCTAGTGCCCAATGATATTCCCATGAAAAATCCCCATAAATTATGGATCAGTTGCATTCAATGATGCTGCAGAATCCCATATGGAACATGCCCATGAAATCCGATGAAAATCCATGGTAAACCACCATTTTCCTATGGTTTTCCTATGGTTTACCAGGGGGTAACCACCATTTCCCATGGGATTTCCGCCAAGGTGGTGCTAAGCCCCGCTCCGCTCGTTCCGACTCACGGAAACCGGCCAAGCGCGGTGACTCCCGCAGGCGGGAAACGTGGCAAAAATGGCCTTGGCGCCTCTGAATTCTTGGGAAATCTTGGGAATTTGGGTGAAACATGAGAAAATGGTTGGTTGATGTGGGTTGATGTTGGTTGATGTTGGTTGATTTTGAGATACTTTAAGCAACAAGAAATGAGGATTCTTGCTAGCGAACATGGTGCTTTTGTCGCTGGTTTGAATCATGTTATTTGTTTCATTGGATTCTCAATGTCATTATAATGTTCTTGTTTATCGCGTTGATCATTATCTTTCTTACTGCTGCTATTGCCGTATATTGCCGTTGTTTTTGCTATCTATCAGAAAAATGATGTCCAAGAAATGGCGATCATATGATCATGATAGCAGATGCCACAGTTCTTATTGTTAGTAAACTAACATAACGATGGAAAATCACCATTTTTTATAGGTAAACCATCTATAAAGGGGATGGGATTCCTCCATTTTTTGCTGCGAGATCCCGCAGATCCCGCAGATCCCATCCTCCCAGGCGCAGTCCGCCGCCGCGCCGCCGCAGTAACAGCCGCCGCAGTGACAGCCGCCGTCGAAGGACGGGGCCTCCGGGGCGTCCGGGGCGTCCGTTCACAAAACGCAGGGAATGTCGCAGGGGTAGGCTGGGACATATTGGGACTGTGATGCCTAATTCTCCAGATTTCTGGAGAGAAACTGCTGTGACTCTGTAGGTGTATGGGAAATGTTGTTGTATTGGGGTTCTCTCTGATGTTCAAGACCGTATATTTTTGATGGTTTCCACAGCCCCGAGAAAACCCAAACCCACCCCGTGTTCACTTTGATGTTCAGATATTCAGTTTGAACCCTGTGGAAATGGGAAACGCCTTAAGTGCTCTTGATTTTCTCTACATATACATACCCTCCTGTAACATAGCTATTCAGCAGTCTTCCTGGTGAGGTTCGATAAATCCATGTTCACTATACTACATGGGCCATGTTCTCAGTGACTTATCAGTTTATATCATTTATATCCCAACTTATGGGGGTTACTTTTTTCTGCCCCATGGCTGAAAATATCTCATTTTTTCAATGGCTTACCCGGTAAGGTGATGAAACATCGCAACGGCAAATCCCCCATGAAAATCGTCGATGTTGATGTTCCCTTTTAAAACTCCCATTTCGTTTAGGGATTTACCAGCTAGCCACCTTTTATTACCGGAGGCTATGAGGGACGGACGAGGCCTGCGGGCCACGGCCCCCAGTGCCTAACATTGCTTTCTGAACCTTCTCTTTTCGCCCCTTGTTGCTAGTAAGGCCTCCTCTGACGCGCTCCCCCTCCTGGCGGCAGGGGTCGGCGGATTACCGGAGGCTATATCCAATTATATCACCATTAAATCCCATGAAATCACATCAAAATCTCCTTTTTTTCCCGAAATACCAAGTTAAGATTGAAGGTAATTTAAGTGTTACCATTTGGTATTAATACATATTAATACCAACAATGGTCATCTCATATGTCCCAATAATATCAACTTATTGTATACCATGATATTCTACCCACAGCCGACTTGATCCGCACTGATCCGCACCCAGGAGCCCGGGACGCTGATGAAAAGCACGGGTTTTGCCATATGGAAGTGGAAAAAGTGGCGGGTGAAACATGGTGAAACAACGAGAAATTGGAGTTTTATCGAAGCATATGGGACTTTTCTATGGTAAAAGATGGGAAATATATAGAAACAGATGGGAAATATGGGAACATATGGGAAACTTATAGGAAAACAATGGGAAAACAATGGGAAATATGAGGATATAAGTCAAGTGGTGGATATCCGAGAAACTGTGAGGAAATAGTGGAGACTTGATGTGCAATTCATGGAGAATGACCATGTCTTAAATAGTAAAATAAATGCTCTTTCCATAAATAAGTCCTGCATTTTCGTTAGACACAAAACTTTCGTTAGGGGCTGGACATGGATTTCCTGGGACAGTAGCTGCCTTTCGCCTTTTTGCTTTCAGGGGAGCCAGGAAACCACAGAGCAATATGAGCAATGGTGCAGTGGTGAAAATGGACATCGGTGGACTTCCACCCCGACATTGGAGGTGTTCAATATTCAGAAGCTATTGAAAATGGCGATAGAAATAGTGGATTGTCCCATGAAAAATGGTGATGTTCCAAACAAAGAATACGAAAAATTGTTGGCAATCTTGCATATTCCAATGTAATACAATCCATTTCCTTTCGCTCTTGGTGCGTCCTCGACGTTGCGAATTTCAGCGGCTGCGGTTATTAAATTTTGGCACAGCATCAGAGTTCCTCGGCAGTGCAGCTGAAAAGGTGTCCCCAGATGAAAAGCTGCCAACTGTATGCAGCTGTATCAAACAATTCTGGTGAAAAATCAATGGTTTTGATCGGTTTGTTAGCTTGCCATACTTGCCATGTCTCGTTTTTTGCTGTTGTCTCCGGGGCAAAGAACTTGGCAGGGTTGGTTCTTGGAGAGCCAGCTTGCAAACATGCCATTTGAACAGTGATTATGGCCTCAAGAGTCCAGGATAATCCAGGATATACAGAGTTTGTCATGGTTTGTCGGAAAATCGGCTACCCCGTTACCCCGTATAGTACACTGACTTAACTATGGAAAATCCCAATTTGTCATAGGCAAATCATCCATAAATGGGGATTTTCTAGTTCGCTTTTTGCTAAACATGTTTTTCTTTACCGAAGATATATACGGAGGTTTCCTAATGGCGGGTACCCCAGTTTATCATCCATTTATAGATGGCTCCAGGTATCGGGGTACCCTCTGGTAAACGTTTACATAACTATGGAAAATCACCATTTATAATGGGAAAACTAACTATTTCAATGGCCATTTTCAATAGCTTTTGGATGCTTTTGGTATGTTTACCAGCGGGTATATCCAATTAATATCCCATTGAATCCCTATAAAATCCCATTGAATCACCATAAAATCCCATTTGTTAATTTACCAGAGGGTAATGATAATGTTATACCAGCTACCAGAGGGTAAATCCCATTAAACCACCATAAAATCACCATAAAATCACCAAACAAATCCCATGGGATTTATGTCTTTTTGAGGCCATGGGACGCAGCGCCAGCCGAAGCCGCGAGGGAAGCGGAAAGGGGGAGAAGGGCGACAGCAAACGCGACTTGGCACTGGGGATTAGTGGATTTCATGGTCGTTTCATGGTCGTTTTATGATCGTTTTATGGTGTTTCATGGTGTTTTATGGTGTTTTATTGGGGATTCAATGGTGATTAATGATGATTTATAATGGTGTTTAATGGCGATCCGATGGTGATAAATGGGGATTATTGGGGTATACTGGAGGTATGATGGAATATATCACCAACTTCATATGATTTGGGTGTGCATGAAAATTAATATATCCTGAAAATTGCTGTTTTAACAGGGCAAATGTGATGACTATGAGATCCATCGTTCGAAAAGGCATTTTCCACTTCCCGAACAAAAACGGATGATCAGCACTATACATATATATATAATATATTATAATATATATATATATATTATACATATATATATATATGTTCAATACATCCAGAAATGATCAGTTTAGAGTTTATGGATGTCGATTTCAAAAAAGTGACCCACCAGTGCAACCCTGTCACAGGAAGTTCCCTCAACTTCTGGATACAAATTGGCCAAGGTGAAAAGGGCACGGTCAACACATGGAACAACGACAGGCAGTTCGGCTTCGCCCCTCGTCCTCGCGGATTGGATTGTGGGCAATTGTTGTCATTGTGACATTCTCGGTAACAAAACACACCCGCATGATACCCACTCAAAGCGCGACACACCCGCATGGCGACTCAGGTTTCGTGTGATAGCGGCCGTGCCTTGTCCAAGTTGCTGTTGTTGAGATGGGAAATTGATGGTTTGAATAGTTGAAAGATTGGAAAGCCACCTGCAAAGTGCAAATGATGTACAACCTGTTGGACGGTCAACCAGATGAAGTCAGTGGTTTGTACAACATGATATCCCACAAACCGCAGGTCTGTGGAAGTCTGTGTTTCTTGATGGTCACTGTCCAAAGTTCTGGCCCTGAGGACAAGATCTCTTCACCCATGCCGAGTACATTACGGACACCAATGCCCGCTACGATGCCAAGACCAGGGGGTTGCGTCGCGGCGACAGGACACCTGCGGTTGAGTGGGTCAACTTGTAACCCATAGGATCCATGTATGCTATATATATGGTAACATTTACCATCAATATACCCCAAATGTTAGCATATATACCATACATGGATCCTATGGGTAAGTGTAAAGACATTTTCAAACGAACATCTGCCAGGATCTGCCCCCGAACAATGCTGTGAATCTATGGGATCCGATGGGATCCTATGGGCTTGCTGCCGGTCACATTTCCTTCCCGCGCGTCCCGCATTCCGACGCCTTTCCGACGCCAGGATTGCCTTTGATGTGGAGGAGCCGCAAGGGAACAAGAAGAGCATGCAGGCGGGCTGCCAGGCAATCAGCTGCTCAGCTCCCAATCTTGGAGGTTTTGAGAATGCGCAGTGACGCAGTGCAGCCAGGCTGTGAATGTGGAGATCCTTGACCTTGCCGGGACCCATGATGGTTGGAGTGTGAAGGGGGAGAAGCCAATTTTTGATTTTGTTTGAATTGATGACTGTGAGAATCAGCCCAGAATCCATCTAGGAGAACTCTATAGATTTCAATGGTGAGCATGGTCTTTGGCAAATGTGATGTGATGCTCAAGAGCGACCTCCCTGGACATTTGAGCAGTTGAGCTATTGCAAAAGAATATCAACCTTCAAACTTCGCAACTTCTAAGATTCACAGCTAGTTACCCTCTGGTAAAAAAAACTAATAACTATATTGGAAAATCACAATTTTCAATAGGTGAATCAACGAACTAAATGGCCATGTTCAATGGCAAACTGTTAGTTTACCATTTTTTTTTAGATAATTCATATATCACATTAATTAATATACATATCATATCTGGTTTCCATATATTTCCATATATATATGTATCCTGGCGAAGTGGAAAAATCTGGAAAAATATACATATCTGGTTAATATCATATATTTCCATATAATTCCATATATATATATATATATAGATATAGATATAACTACCCTGGGTTAGTCATTCAGCCACTGACATCCCGGGAACTGCGCTGTCCAGGTGAAACGTTCACGTAGCCCTTCGCGGCGCCGAAGCCGCAGCCGTGGCCGTGGAGGTGGAGGACGTGGGCGCTCCAGGTGCTGGGTGTAGTTTTTTTGAGGAAACCTGGGGGGGTTGGGGGTTGGGGGTTGGTATGGTGATTTTATGGTGATTTTATGGTGGTTTAATGGGATTTACCCTCTGGTAATTTTTTTCAAATAGGATTTCATGGTGATTCAATGGGATTTTATAGGGATTCAATGGGATATTAATGGGATATACCCTCTGGTAAACAAACAGTTTGCGAACTGGAAAATGGCCCAGTCGAAATAGTGGATGTTCCCATGAATAGCATGGTGATTTTCCATAATTATGTAAACGTTTACCAGAGGGTAATGGCATTTAATGGCTTGAGATCACTTGTTTTTTTGATGAAACAATTCATTTTTGTCCATGTTTGATGATTTCATGGTGATTTTGCAGGGGATTGGTCATGGAATTTGTCAGATGGGAATCATTGGAATATGAATGAGCCATACCAACTTGTTTAGGGGGAACCCTAAACTAGACCTATCCATTTTGGAGGGGAAAAGGTCCAACGGCCGTGGTTCACAAAGAAAAAAGGTCGAAAAGTGGGTACCTGGTAGCGATCCAAGTCTGCTGGAGTAGGTTGAAAACCACTACAGTAGGCCAATTCCGAAAGAATCATCTCAACTTCGCACATGTCTCAAATTTAGAAATTTAGATTACACATCCCAAAAGACTCGAAGCTTCGATGTTTGCGATCATCCCATCTCCAGGTCGCGAGGCCGCAACACGCGACCCATGGATCAAAGGGTGTGGGAACCCGGCCCCGTGTCACCGTGTCACAGAAAAAACCGTTGGACATACGTTCATGCGTTGAAATCTTGTTGTTGTTGATAGAAAAATGAAGATATTTGAAGATTATTGAAGTAATTTGAGATCATGTGAGGTATATTGGGCCGGAATGAGATATGGGTGTATTGAGTTTGTGTGGGAAAATGTTTGAAAGTATTGACGCTGAATACTGGGGATCTGTCCGTTTGCTTTCATCATTCCACAGGGACCTCAAAGTCAGTCCCGCCAGGACTCCGGGCGCCCGAGCGATGGAAACAGTCACATGGCGGGGTGGAAAATCACCCATTTGGTTTGATAATTTTTCTACAAACCTCCAACATGGGATAACAGATGGGATTTTTGTTGTTGGATTATGTTGAACTATGTTGGTTTGCCTAGGGGTAGCATAACTGAATCATGAGTATCGCGCTACTCCTTACATTCTTACATGCTATGTTCATTGAGGTTGGGGGTGTTTGATTGCATCATCATGCACGATCCAATTTCTGGCGGTGCTATGATACTCTTATGACAATGGCTCTGAAAATTTCACAACGTTTTCAGTTCGGCGAGGACTTTGGCTTCGCAACATTCGCAGTTCGCCCTTTTTTTCACAGGGCTGCTGTAACTGGATAGACTCAGCACTCGACAACCACTGGAATATCTGGAGTGAACGGAGTGTTGCCGTGTCACTTGCCCTGTGACCCGGTAGCCATTTGTTGACATTGACGGCTACCTCCACAGGAGATTTTGGGGAGACCTCTGAGGATCCCACTGGAAATGCCCAGCCTTGTCCAGATCCAGATCCAGCCCCTGTTCCACCTAAAGGTCCTTAAATTCCACCATAGCTGGGTGTTGATAAAACTCGGACATCGTTAGTTTATGAATTTTGACAACGAATAGTAACAGTGGCTATGGCTTTTCCGCAACATTCGTAATTCAATGATAATTCATCATAATTCATTATTAGACCAATGTAATTCATCAAATTTTGTCGCCAATTTTGGGGATATGATGGGATATGGATTCCATGGATATACCATCTGGTTATTTAACATAGCCATGGAAGCCCTGGCCCATAGAAAATCATAGAAATAGATGATTTACCTGGGTTTACCTATTCAAAATGGTGAATTTCCATGGCGAACTGTTAGTCATAACCAGATGGCAGTGCCCACTGGCAGCACCAGGATCTCCAAATTTTGGTCGCCCCAAGGCGGTGGAAAGCCTCGCGCTCGTTCCGACTCGCGGAAAGCGCCGCCGAAGCGCCGTGACTCCCGTAGGCTGCTGGTTGGTTGATGTTAATCCTTGCTAGTTGGGGATTTCGCTGGAAAGATTGATAAAACATGATAAAAATTGGGGGAGTTGGTTTTAATCGTTAAAAATCTGGATTTGTGCTGCCCGGGTCGGTGACAAAATCACGTCTCCGGGGTGATCCCAACTGATGTCCTGTTTTCAGCTCGCGCTCCCCAACTATTTTCCAAGTACAACAATCATCATTAATCATCATTAATCATCAACATACTGTGGATGGTTGCGAAATCCTGCGCCAGTTAATAGGTGGTAAATGGTGGTAAACATCCCATTATTTTGGATGGCTTTCTACCATCCAGGCGGTGCAGGATTTCTTCCTTGGGGATCTGATTCCCAGGCGTAGCCCGCCGCCGCGCCGCCGCGACAGCCGCAGTAACAGCCGCCGTCGAAGGACGGTTCCAGAACTGGGGGGACCCCAATAGCTGGATCGTTTTTTTGAGGGAAAATCCATGAAAATCCCATCTATAAATGGATGATAAAATGGGGTACCCCAAAATAATGGAAACCCCCAAATAAATTGAAACCAACATGTTTTGAAATAATTAAGAAAAACAAAATAAGTTTGAGTTCAGACGTGCAGCAGACAAAACATTTATAAGTGTTTGCTTTGATGTTTATGATTTTCTGATCGAAGCGGTTGAGGAAACTGGAAGACATCCTGAGTAAGCCTGGATTCCTCCAAGACCTTACCACTTTGCAATGGATATTTCAATCATGTTCCACTTCCCATCATTTATCAATTATAACTTGATATACCCCTACAAGCGTTAACATATTTGAGTCATATCTTGGGCCAAAAACCTCTCCGCGTGGGTCCGCGTCAGTGTCCGCGTCAGTGCGTAGAGGGCGGCGTAATATTATATGTAGTTCGTGTTGTGCAAATACTGGCGCTTGGGGGGTGGCGTGAATACATGTTTTGCATACATATATGTAGGTTTTGAATGACGAAAGGGCTTGGTTCGCAACCAAGCCGACTTGCATTGCAGTGTGACATGCTGCAGGCTCTTTTGCTCCAAGGAAAAAGCATCCCCGCTTGCTCCGCTTGCAGGTTATGAGCCCGACGTACCTTTCTGTGCGGTGCATGACCAGTGCGGTGAGTTTTCGATCAGCTTACCCAAAGCGAGCTGCCAAAACACCGCGACGGACATTCAAAAACGCAATGCTGTGCACACATCCTTTCACCGGGCCCATGACTTGTCCAGAGGCAAGTGTCCCGCAACCCACCTGGAAAAAGAACAAAGCCTTGCCACCCACACCGGCCCTGACACGGACCCATGCCGACCCCCATCCCGCATTGGCTTGCACTGACTGGCATTGACACGACTACCGACGTGGACCCACGCGGACTTACGCAAACCCAAATCCCACAACCACCGCGCACTAACACACACCCACGCGGACCCACGCGGGGACCGCTTCCTGCACCGACGCGGACACTGACGCGGACCCACGCGAACCCACGCGGGGACCCCTCCCCGCACTGACGCGGACACCCACGCGGACCCACGCGGACCCACGCGGGGACTTCTCCCCGCACTGACGCGGACCGACGCGGACCCACGCGGGGCCACCTCAACGCCGCCCTCAGAACGCTTACGGGGCGACGCGTCAAGTGATTTTGCTGCAAGGGTGCCCGGCCCCGCGTGGGTCCGCGTCGGTGTCCGCGTCGGTGTCGGCGTCAGTGCGGGGAAGGGTCCCCGCGTCGGACCGCGTGGGTCCGCGTGGGTCCGCGTCGGTGTCCGCGTCAGTGCCCGCGTTGGTGCTGGCTCTGGGTCCGGGCCCGTGTGGGTTTGCGTGGGTCCGCGGGTCCGCTTCAGACAGTGTCCGTGTCAGTGCGGGGACAGGGGCCTCACGTGGGTCCGCGTGGGTCCGCCTCAGTGCCCGCGTCGGTGCGGGCGCTGGGGGCCCGCGTGGGTCCGCGTGGGTCCGCGATGGTCCGCGTCAGTGTCCGCGTCACTGCGGGGACGGGGGCTCCGCGTGGGTCCGCGTGGGTCCGCGTCAGTGCCCGCGTGGGTGCGGGTCCTATATAGGAACCCCACGTGCGTTTGCGTAGATCCGCGTCAGTGTCGGCTCAGCGTCCGCGTCCGTGCCAGGCGCCGTCCGCGTTGGTCGTGGGTCCGCGTCAGTGTCCGTATCAGTGCGTGGACCAGGGCGGCGCGTGGGTCTGCGTGGGTCCGCGTCAGTGCCCGCGTGGGTGCAGGCCGTGGGGGCCCGCGTGGGTCCGCATCAGTGTCCGCGTCAGTGTGGGGAGGCATTTTCCCAATCATTTATCAGAAAAACAGAGGTGCTGATTTAAGACACACACACACACATTTTGCCGCAACATTTTGTGGCAAGAACGTAGGACCAGAATTTGACACAGGCACCCGCCAGGCACTTTGCACAGCAACCGTGCCACCGAAAAGGATATAGTGTTAACGCTTTCACGGTCATAACAAATTATAACATATAAATGGGCTAACGCCCTGGTGCCGCCGACCCCCATTTTGAGGCCATGGTTATCCGATGTTGTCCTAGATGTTTCTATATATGTCATTTGTCCCAAAGTCATTTTCTAGTGATTCTGTGCTGTTTCAACACGAATAGAAGATGGGGCTCTTTAGTTATAAGTCGGTATATAATTACGTTATAGACAGTTATACCTACCATAAACCACACGAAGCGAGTGATGAACCAATGCGGCTATCATGTGAGGGCCCTATGCTATAGCATGTATATGCCTGTATGGGGGCGCTTGGCAGTGGAAAGAAAGGAGCACAGCGACCGAGTACCAAAGTAAGTTGAATGTATGTACGCACCTGCAGCCCCTTGGTACTGTAAGTATCTTTATACTACAGGCTGAGGATTAATTATTAATGATAACCATTCTGGGATATTGGTTAGTCTCCTGAACTGTTTTTTTACGTGCACGAAGGGTTTTTACGCCTTTACGAGGTAGCTCAAATAAGATCTCCAAAAGCGGAAGACAGGGTTTTGGGATGTTTTGGGCACTGTTCGAATATGGTTGGGACATGCTTTGGAATGCTGCTAGTCTAGTTCTGAGCCTTTGAGTTCAGAATTGAAGAGGTATACGTGCACGGTCGTAAAGCTGAATGGCAAAGCAGGCACGGAGCCGCTTCGGAAGCTGCTGCGGAGCATTTTGATCATTTGAGGCTTGTAAGGCCGGCCGACAACGTGCCACATAGCAGTTTCGAAGCGTAATAGAAACAGCTTGTGGGGCCTAGGGAGGTACCATGTCCAAGGAAGCGGCACGCCTTCGAAAGCTGCTGCGGAGGGTTGTGAGGTTATAAGGCCTTCGAAAGCTGCTGCGGAGGTTTTGAGGCTTTCAAGGCCTGCCCAAAACCTGCCACATAGCAGTTTCGAAGCCCAAGAGAAACAGCTTGTGGGGCCTAGGGAGGTACCACGGCCAAGCAAGCGGGACGCCTTCGAAAGCTGCTGCGGAGGGTTGTGAGGTTCCAAGGCCTTCGAAAGCTGCTGCGGAGGTTTTGAGGCTTTTAAGGCCTGCCCAAACGTGCCACATAGCAGTTTCGAAGCCCAATAGAAACAGCTTGTGAGGCCTAGGAAGGTACCATGGCCAAGCAAGCGGCACGCCTTCGAAAGGTGCTGCGGAGGGTTGTGAGGTTCTAAGGCCTTCGAAAGCTGCTGCGGAGGTTTTGAGGCTTTCCCTGCGCAAAACGTGCCACATACTAGCAGTTTCGAAGCCCAAGAGAAACAGCTCGTGGGGCCTAGGGAGGTACCATGGCCAAGCAAGCGGCACGCCTTCGAAAGCTGCTGCGGAGGGTTGTGAGGTTCCAAGGCCTTCGAAAGCTGCTGCGGAGGTTTTGAGGCTTTTAAGGCCTGCCCAAAACGTGCCACATAGCAGACATAGCAGTTTCGAAGCCCAATAGAAACAGCTTGTGAGGCCTAGGGAGGTACCATGGCCAAGCAAGCGGCACGCCTTCGAAAGGTGCTGCGGAGGGTTGTGAGGTTCTAAGGCCTTCGAAAGCTGCTGCGGAGGTTTTGAGACTTTCAAGGCTTGCCCAAAACGTGCCACATAGCAGTTTCGAAGCCCAATAGAAACAGCTTGTGGGGCCTAGGGAGGTACCATGTCCAAGCAAGCGGCACGCCTTCGAAAGCTGCTGCGGAGGGTTGCGACGTTCTAAGGCCTTCGAAAGCTGCTGCGGAGGTTTGAGGCTTTTGAGGCCTGCCCAAAACGTGCCACATACTAGCAGTTTCGAAGCCCAATAGAAACAGCTTGTGGGGCCTAGGGAGGTATCATGGCCAAGCAAGCGGCACGCCTTCGAAAGCTGCTGCGGAGGGTTGTGAGGTTATAAGGCTTTCGAAAGCTGCTGCGGAGGTTTTGAGGCTTTTAAGGCCTGCCCAAAACGTGCCACATAGCAGACATAGCAGTTTCGAAGCCCAATAGAAACAGCTTGTGAGGCCTAGGAAGGTACCATGGCCAAGCAAGCGGCACGCCTTCGAAAGGTGCTGCGGAGGGTTGTGAGGTTCTAAGGCCTTCGAAAGCTGCTGCGGAGGTTTTGAAGCTTTTGAGGCCTGCCCAAAACGTGCCACATAGCAGTTTCGAAGCCCAAGAGAAACAGCTCGTGGGGCCTAGGGAGGTACCATGGCCAAGCAAGCGGCACGCCTTCGAAAGCTGCTGCGGAGGGTTGTGAGGTTCTAAGGCCTTCGAAAGCTGCTGCGGAGGTTTTGAGGCTTTTGAGGCCTGCCCAAAACGTGCCACATAGCAGTTTCGAAGCCCAATAGAAACAGCTTGTGAGGCCTAGGGAGGTACCATGGCCAAGCAAGCGGCAAGCCTTCGAAAGCTTCTGCGGAGGGTTGTGAGGTTATAAGGCCTTCGAAAGCTGCTGCGGAGGTTTTGAGGCTTTTGAGGCCTGCCCAAAATGTGCCACATAGCAGTTTCGAAGCCCAATAGAAACAGCTTGTGGGGCCTAGGGAGGTACCATGTCCAAGCAAGCGGCACGCCTTCGAAAGCTGCTGCGGAGGGTTGTGACGTTCTAAGGCCTTCGAAAGCTGCTGCGGAGGTTTTGAGGCTTTTAAGGCCTGCCCAAAACGTGCCACATAGCAGTTTCGAAGCCCAAGAGAAACAGCTTGTGGGGCCTAGGGAGGTACCATGGCCAAGCAAGCGGCAGGGGCTTTTGAGGCCTGCCCAAAACGTGCCACATAGCAGTTTCGAAGCCCAATAGAGACAGCTTGTGGAGCCTAGGGAGGTACCATGGCCAAGCAAGCGGCACGCCTTCGAAAGCTGCTGCGGAGGGTTGTGAGGTTCCAAGGCCTTCGAAAGCTGCTGCGGAGGTTTTGAGGCTTTTGAGGCCTGCCCAAAACGTGCCACATAGCAGTTTCGAAGCCCAAGAGAAACAGCTTGTGGGGCCTAGGGAGGTACCATGGCCAAGCAAGCGGCACGCCTTCGAAAGCTGCTGCGGAGGTTTTGAGGTTTTGAAGCCAAAGCTGGCACAAGGCCATGCCGCACACCTACGGTGATCCCGGGCGCCGCCCCGCCTCGGCCAAGGCTAGGCAGGGGTCGGCGGATATCACATATATCTTTAACATATGTCTATAACATATATGTATCTATGTCTATAACGTATATCTATAACATAGTTACCAAATATCATTTATAGATACCCTCTGGTAAACGTTTACATAACTATAGAACATCACCATGCTATTAATGGGGAAATCCACTATTTCAATGGTGATTTTCAATAGCTATGTAACAAATTACCAGAGGGTATATCCCATTAATATCCCATTGAATCCCTATAAAATCCCTATCATTTATAGATATATGTTAAAATATATCAAGAATCCATCCAGCTGCGGTCGCTTGACGACTCCACCGTGTCCACCGTGTCGCTCAAAAGGAGCCCGTGACGTCGTGACGCAACGAGTTGCACACCGAGTTGCACCGAGGGGGAGAAAACATGTGGTTCGCGAATGGTGCTGCAGGAGGACAAACATGGTAAATTAATGTGGCTTGGATACCGTGGTATTTACCATATTTATATGTTGATATAATGGTAAATAAATGTTTCTGTAAACTTGAGGAAATATATTTGTTTTAATGGAAAATATGTCTTTTATGGGTAATGAAAAGGACTTTTATGTAAGAAAATGATTATGTGACTCATAATATCTTGTTTTTTCTTTATGCGGACTTTATGGTAAATACCATGAATCAATGGTGGATTGGGGAAATCAATGGTGGATACACCAAAAAAATGAATCAATGTTTTTGTTGCTCGGTCTGGCGTTTCCGTGATAACATTGACAATGGGGATGAATAGGCAGGAAAGTCAGGATGGTGCCATAAAAAGTATTGGTTTATGATGGGCGGTTTCAATCGGTGTTTTTCTATGTTTCTCAGGGGATTGACACCACCAACCAGAAAAGATCTATTGGTGTAAATTTGGGTAGAGCACCTGTCTTGTGTGCACACATTACACATATTTACACATACTGTATCACGATATTATGGGATTTTCCTCACTTTTAATGTGTGATATCATTTTTGGTATCCTCTGCTAATCTGGGGGAATGAGGGTTCTCCAAGTATCACTACAGGCGCGCAACGGTTGACCAGTTTTTTCCTGCACCTTTTTTCAGCGACACATCGCCAGTCAACTGAGTCAATTGACTCATGTGCAGCCGAAAATGTCACTATTTTTCAATTGACTCATGTTCATAAAATTGGATTATGGGAAAATTTACAGGAACATTTATATTGCCCTATATTTGATGGTAAAAACCATTTATGGGAAAATTTACTGGTTTAAGCCCTATATTTGATGATAAAATCCCATGGGTTTCCGGTTCAGATTTTCCAAACTAAACCAATCCAGTGACATGTGCAAGTTTCTTTGCAGCCGCAGTTCCTGAATTTTTCTGACCACAAAACAACTCATTGGATCTGCGTGGAATACACAGCCGTCTTCGGGGAATACACGAAGCCATGCGTCGAGCATTCCAGGCACGACGCCTTGGAACTGGGGATCTGGGGGTTAACCCCTCTGGCATGGCAACTAAGTGCCTATCTTCAGGGATCATCCTTGACAAGGTCAAAGATGTAGATATATTATTTATACTATTATGTATGTATATATATATATACACACATTCTATATGTAATTATATAATACCTTTTTGCCACTTGTGCAGGTTAATGGCATGAAAAAACAGCCCTGGTCTCGGTTTCGGACATGTTTGAAGCCCTGGATATAGTCACAGTTCAGGCATCCTGACCATTGGTCATACCGCATCTGGATGGTTCTGCTCGATTTACCGAACAAAAACTCTGTTGATTAGCCTTATAGAGGGGAGTACAAATTTAATTCTAATTACATGGTTTAATGTTAGTATACTATGGATGCTTATAACAATGAAGTCTAGCCCTCGAAAATAGTGCAGTCAACATTAAGATAGACCCATTCAAGTCAATATCTAATAAATTTTGGACCAATATATTAGACTTGTTATCTAAACATATACAAGTTATAGGTGTTGACCCATGATCCACGAGGTGAGCAAATCTGCAGGTCACGTCGACGACGTGTCGTTCCCTCAGCCGTCGGCGTTGGGCGCTGGTGTTGGCGCTCGCTGGCTGTTTAGGTGGGGATGGCTTTGATTTGACATGCTTTGACTGGAGGATGGCCACAACTAGTGACCAATAAGATAATATAGGAAACCCGTGGTTATGTGATTTGGATGGGTTTGGATTACCAATTCTGGTAACAAATAGTCAACTCGGTATATGGTAATTGGATTGTAGTACCACCAAAGATTAAGAGTGTCCCTCAATGGTACCCCCCAAACGATTGCGGTTGAAAAGCGCTAAAACTTATTATGGTGTTTAATAACTGTTAGCTGATTTTCATGACGATGACAAATTACTGGTTGTAGGGTTTGGGTGCGTTTGGATTATTTGTCTCAGAAACTAATACTCGTAGTGCTGGATTGTAAAAACTGAATAGTAGTAATTGGATTGTAGTACCAAACAATGGAAAACTCATAAGTGTCCATCACAAGTTCAGTTATGGTAGTTCCATAGTCAAAAAACTGGATTGATCAATGGATGAGTAACTCATTATGGAAAAACCATGAGTGGATTAAGAAAAAGTGATGAAAACCATGACTAAACATGGTAAACTCCAGAATCAAAAAGCTATGAAACCAATATCAACGTCTGGTTGTTGAATTTAATCATATTCCATTATAATCCATTCCATGATATTATAATCCATTTAATCATATTCCATGTTCCATGAAAAATATTCCATTATTTTGGAGCCCTTTGGGATGGAAATCACACCAGCAGGGCCCCCCCCAAAAAACCTGGTCATACCAACAGCGAACCCAAAGAAATACTCAGATGCTAATAGTTATTACTATTATTACTAATAAGTACAATGTAATATTATTATTACCATTAATAGTATACTAAGTACATTCATGGTTTGACGGAAGAATTCCGAGCTTTGGGATAAAACAGCTATTATCATTAGGTCTGATTATGTATCACTTAGGTATCACTAAGTATCACCAGGTATCACCAAGATGCATGGCACTTAAATCCTCGACAGGTAGCCGTGCAGCACATCTTCTTCAAAGGCGACCACTGACCACCGCGGCTTTCGCGCAGGCTGCACTGCTTGTTGATTCAGCCAGAAATGGCCATGAGGCCATGAGGCAACAAAAATATGGTAGAAGACATGCACATAATTCACAATCATAGTTAAGATTAAAACCTCAAAAATGTCATAATTAAATATAATTAAAACCGCACAAATTGATAAACATTGTCTATGATCTGTTGGTGATGCGATTATTCAGTTATTCAGCCCCAGCGTTTTAAGTGACCAGCAAAATGTATCCCAAGTTCTTGGAGGGTAGACCGTTGTCAAAGGGGTAGCCACAAAATGGTATGGTTTGCTTAGTTTGCTTGTATTAATTCGGATTTATTTGTTTTTTTGACACTATATTTCTAAATAGATTGACTAGGATCAGTGGTTTGCTCAGTTTTGACCACAATACATGCAGTGTTTGCTACTCGGGAATGAATTATTGGATCGACTGCTATGACTCGGAGTTATCTATTCACGCGTAAGAATATGTCGATAGATGAGATTTAATGCAAGGTAGGAATGCAGTATACTTACATATATCGATACCGATGCACAAATACATATATAAAAGTCCGACAATAATTTCCACCATCCCCCAAATCATCATATATTTACCAAGTCATCCCCCAAATCATCATCCCCCAATATGCACCTACATATATCGATAGCCTGACAATATTTTATAGGTGGTATGTTTACCCAGTCATGGGTGGTAGAAATGGCATTGTTTTACCCCAGTCATGATATATCGTCCTGATAGGCCGTGCAGAGTCGTACCAGCCCGGGCAGCACAGAACGACAAAACATGTGGTCACTGGGGAAAAATGGGCGCTTTCCTATGGTGATAATATGGATTATAATGGGGATATGATGGTGGATAAAGATATACATATATATATATAAAGATGATTATCATACATTTATGAATCCATGTATGAAGCTGGGTTTCTTAAGTCATGGTGGATCCCCAGTCGTTACAAGTCGGGGTTCAATAGGAGAATGGTCATCCATGATTTGGATGTGGAAGATTTGACCCATGTCATGCCACCAGCCCATTTCAATGTGGGAGAGGATAGAAATGCACTCAGAGCTTGGCCATCGGCTTTGTTGCTTGGGGTTCAATGATCAGCATTTCTCAGCATGTTTGCTGCCAACAAATGTACTTCGTTTGTTTCTTGTGATTTTGTGATTTAGTTGCCTGTTTTGAATGTCTTGTGTTGCTGTAAATCTTACATGTTCGCAGGTCCCAGCGACAGGTTCAGGACACAAAGATGATGAATACAAATGTCGCCGTCATCATAGTCCTCCTCCTCCTCCTCATCATCATCATCATGGTGATAATAGTATAATATATATCATAATAATAGTAATTATTAATAATAATAATATTCATCATCATCATCATCATCATCATCCCATACTTCATTGATTTCCGGAAATGCCTGGCCACCCGTGCGCAGAATCAGACCTCTTTTGCACCGACCATCGCAGGTCAAGCCGTTACCCTCCTGGGACAACAGGATGCCATTTCTATCGATGAGGAGTTGATGGCAACACCAGGTCGGCGACATGATCTGATGATCTGGGGATCTGGATCTGGTGAAAAAAAATGCGAAAGGCCATGATTTTAGAAGTTGCTGATCTGGTTGGTGGTTTGGAACATGTTTTTTTCCCATAATATATGGGATGTCATCCTTCCCATTGACCTTCATATTTTTCAGAGGGTTTGAAACCACCAACCAGTGATGTATTTGATGATGATGTGATCCTTTTCAGGAAAAACATCCGGAATGATCGGAATGTATGTTTGTTTTAAAGAAAAGCATGATGTTTAAGAAGATTCGACCCCACGGGGCATATGCTGCGCAAAATGTCTAGATGGGCCTCTCTAAGAGGTATCCATGCTATCTCCAAATTCAATGGTATATGAATATATTTGATTCATAAATAATCATAAATGTTGCATTCAAATTCCACATTTCATATGTCCCACTGAAATGATATTTCAGTGTACTGAAATGGCCATAAACCGGGACCAAATCCTCCATCTTCGGACCATCTGGTTTTTGGGGTCAATCATTGGATGGCAATCCGAGGTTCAATCCAGGGTGGATCAAGATTGGTTTATTCAAAATCTGCTCCATCTGGGCCTTCTGAAAAAACAGTATTTTTGTTTTGATCTTTTTTTTTCAGAAAAATCCCCAAAAAAAAAACAAAATCATCCAAATAATTACTGGTAGTTTTTCCCAGGGGTTTGTTTTTCAGGGAGATTTGTTCCAATCCAAATAGCCGGTTGGTGGTTTGGAACATTTGGATTATTTTTCCATTCAGTTGGGAATAATAATATATAATAATCCCAAGTGACTAACTCATATTTTTCCAGAGGGGTAGGGTAGGTCAACCAGCGTCACCAGCCGAAACTCGGGACTCGTCCCAGGTTTTTCAGTCGATCAGTTGATGGAACTCGCTGGACTCTCTGTGGCCAGTGCTCTGGTGGACCGCGACCCTTGCGGGGCCCGGGCGGCAACGGGGAGACGGTTGGACGGCGGCCGTTCCAAGGTTTGGATAATTTTGGGGATTTCTATGGGAATTTCTCATGAATTTTCAGTTCTTAGAACATCTTTCTGCAAGGAATTTTCAAATGATCGGTCATTTCTCATTGGATCTCATTGGTTTTTTTCTGCAAGTTTAACGCCTCGGCAATTCTTGGTTTCTAGTGGCCGCCACTTGAATCAGCAGACGCGATGCTCTGTGGGTTTCTCAAAAAGGATGGTGCAGGTACCCCAAAATTTGATCAATCAAAGTCAATCATAATTTTCTCAAATTGAGGATACCTCATTTTCTCAAAATGATGATCATTAATTTGAGAAAATATGAGAAAATGATGATCATTTCGGAAAATGATGATCCTTATTTTCTCAAATTGAGGATAATGAGGTATTGAAATTGAGGTACCAAATTATTATCCTCAATTATTCCTCAATTATCCTCAGATATTATCAAATTGATTGAAATTGCCATGAAGCCTTGAGGTATCCCCATCTCCGGAGCGACTCATTGACCGAAACGTCCAAGTCCCCAGCCCCGGCCACGAATCGTAAGTTTTTTCTGATAGGCTTATCCAATTACTAAGCAGTAGGATATAATCCATGATAATCCTAACATATCCTAACTAGTATCATCTAGTATCCCTGGATTTATAGGATATAACATGATATACCCCACAAACACAAACCAGTTCCATAACTGTTGTGGCATGATCCCTACGTGACGGGAACCCCGTGACATCCGTGGCAGGACGCATATCCCAAGTCCAAGCGCGTGCTGATCGTGGCGGGCCCTGGGAACAACGGGGGCGATGGATTGGTGGCGGCTCGACACTTGCAACTGGGCCAACTGCTGGAGCAGATTCGACGGTGGAGATGTTCCAGTGGATATCCTGGGGATATGATCAGGGATATGTATTATATGTATGTAAACATTATATATATATATCAATGTATAGTATGTATGTATATATGTATAATATATATATATAATGCTATGTATGTTGTAAGTATTTAAGTATCATTATCTCCATTAATGGGGATATCATTCAATCTTTTTCAATGGCTGGGAAAGTGGTTTTCTATTCATCGTGATAATTGGGATACATTGGTGATATAATGTGGATACACTAGCTAGAAATGGCGATTTCACCAACTATAAATGGAATATAAAGGGAAGATCATCAGCAATATTTTCGGAGTCTTTAAATGGGGCACCCCGAAATCATTGAAGACTGGCTAGGACATCAATGGTCTGGACATCACTGTTTGTTAGTAATATTGTCTAAGTGGCACATACCCCAAATTTGTGTTTCAAAACACATTATAAAGTATTTTCCCATGTGAATGCACCTATCGGGGATTCCCATTGCCATGTTTGATTGCCGGAGGGTAGTTTATTTCCAGATGTTTACACTCCCAAGGAGTCATGAGAAAATAGTTTCCACTTCTCCAGCTCAATTCAGGCCAAAACAGCCACAAAATCCCATGACTCTGTGGCACTGTGGGTTATACAATTGCGAATGATCACTGGGTTAATTCAAATTCGATTCAGTTTTTCAACCTGGCTGAAAATGGTGAATTGTCACAACTGTGCTGAGTTACCCAGGGGCGTCATGTGACTTTCATAGCTTCACTCTTGGTAGATTCACCACATCGTACACGTTTCACGGCCACGTTGACCCACGTTAGATCTGTGGCAGCCATTGCACGGTAAAAGCGCCAAGAGCCGGCCGAGTAAGGGCACCTTGGCACATGACTTCACTCATTGTTAAAAAGGAACATGTTCAGAATTACGGAAATTTCATGTAATAAATATCATTGGAAAATGTTGTTAGAATATGTTGAAATATATTCTTTATATCAAATATGAATATGCGATTGTTGTTGAAGATTAGTTGGAATAAATTCTTGGAATAGAGAACGTTGTTGGAATAATCAGTGGTTAGTCATATCTTTTCCCAGATCACACTCCCACCCTACGTTTTAAACACCAGCTGCGGCTGAGTGAATCTTCCATCGCACCTGTCACCTGTCGCCATGGGGAATTACTTGGCGGAGCCAAAAAAGGCGCGGCGCTGGAGGGTCGATGGGTCAATGGAACCTTATCCATGTTACTTGGCTTCTCAAATATCTTATACAAACATATACAAACCATTGCATATTGCCATGTGAAAGTTGGTTTAACACTTCTTCATGATGATGCTGATGACGCTGATGCTGATGACGATGACGACTATTTAGAAATCCTCCAGACAGTCAGTTTCTCAGGATGTTGGCGATTTTCCCACGTTCAAACCAACTCAAAACATCAAAAATCCCCAAAAATCCAAATCAACAATTTGCCATGTTCAAATCATCATTTTCCTATGTTCAACCAATCATCAGATTCTTGGTTTATCCCCAAAATTCCTCACTATATCCCCCTCGAAGTTGGCGCAGGACAAGGAGACTGCCACCGGTAGTGGTCCTGGCGTTCGCTGGGGCAGTACTGGGATGCAAGGATGGAGAGTGTCCATGGAGGAGCCGCTCCAAAAATGGGGAGGTTTATCCCACAGATATCCCATAAAATTGTGGCTTAGTAACCCAGAAAAAGAATGTGGATAAAAAACCAACAACAAATGGCTTTAATCAAGAGAAATGGGGAATGATATGGGATGATGTGGGACGATGTGGATGTGGGAGGATAGGAATAATTCTTGGTCTTGTTGTGAAAATTTCACTGGTCACTGGCCGACTCGAACTGTTGTTGTATTGTTATATGTCAGACAGATGACCGATTGAAAGCCGCCCAAGCTGGCCATCAACCATGAAGCCCTGCAATGTGGGTACTCTCCAAGAAATTCATACATATCACATATCTATAATATTCTATAATATACAATATATATATATATCCAGTTTTCAGAGGAAAACCATCGAAATCAGGTTCTTTGCTGGGAAAATTGGATCGGAACTTGCCCACGAATCCTTTCCCACAAAGTCATGGCGCTTTACCCCTTGTATGTGTCTAAAGTTTTGGATCTTTTGACATGGCAGATAATCATCATGATCACCATCTACACATATTCAACGAACCAACCCTCAAGTTGGTTCATAAGCCCCTCTGACATCATCTAACTATAGATATATCATTGATATTTCCACCATATGTCCACCATAAACTGTCAATATTTTTCAACAAAGCCGGGGTCCACCGTTGGTACCGCTGGTTGCATCGTCGGCAGGATGCGCATGTGACGCTACCTGATCTGGGTTCCTACCTGTCGGGGATTGGCACCTCGCTATTTGCCTTCCATTTTTTTGGGATGTAGATAGATATAGTTGTCTAATGTTGTTGATGTATTTTGTTGATATTTCTTGTAAAAAAAATCATCCGTACTAATCCACACATCCACACCAGCCTTGGGGCCCCAAGGGCTTACCTTACGGTAACGGCCCCAAGGAATGTACGCCGTCTTCGATGGTCATAGTGGCCGTGAGGTGGCGGCCTTCTGTGAGAAGCACATGCCACGAGAGCTGTTGACCTTGGCGCAGCAGTCACAGGTGGGGACCGCAGCTGTTTTGCCATGGGAAAAGGATGAACATCAAAAGGTAAAAATGGGATTCAGATGGGATTTATCATCATCATCATCATCATCACCGTGGTTGTTGTTGTTGTTGCTGTTGTTGTTATGAATTGTGAATTGTGATTTATGATTTATACTTTATGTTTTATGATGAAAAATGAAGGCTTCATATGGTTTCACATTTGGACTCATATGGGATAAATCACATGAGGCACCAAACATTGGTGACTCAACCATAAAGGTTATGATTAAATCTCGTTATTATTCTTATTACTATTATCAAGCAATCAATATCAACAAAAATGGTGTTTTACCACCAACCATTTGGATATTCACCAGCAAGAATGTGATATCAATCAGCAAAAATAGGGATTTCACAACCAGCAAAATTGGTGATTCAACCACCAGTAACTGATGATTCACCCATCAAAATTTGGATTTAACCATCCACATGATGGGCATCTTTACTATCAAAGATTGATAATAGATGGACATAAATGGACATCTTTACTTTCCGGCGACATTTCCCACTGGTCGGATTCTTCAGACATGCCAAGGAACCCTTCAGGAACCAGACATAGATGGTGGCTGTTTGATGATTGTAGGGTTCAGATTCCATCAGAATCAAAAGTGCTGCCCGAAATGATGAGCCCCAGAAATGGATAGTTCATGGTTGATTCATGGTTGATTCATGGTTGATTCATGGTTGATTCATGTGACATCATGTGACCAAAATGAACCATTTTCTGGGTCAGATAGGGGTGAACCCGGTGAACACTGATGTCTGGGTGCAGCCACTGAGGACCTCTTTGCAGCTCTGAGAACAGTGTTTCCCAGGATCGACGATACTTCGCTGCGACAGATGGGATGACAATGGATGACACTTCTGAAATATCGCGTAAGTTACACCGGATTACACTGGACAGAATCCACATTACGAAGCATTTGTTTCATGAAAAAAATTGGATTCTTGGGAAGACTGGGAAGAGATTTGGTTGTATTTCTGGCATTTTAAGTGGCTTTTTGTGTGGAAGGAACAAACATTTGGGCCGTATTCGACGGATTGGTATTGCTTCAAGAATTGGCCCTTTGGGTCAGACGCCCTTTCCATTGCTAAGGACATGCTGCGACAGCATGAGTATCACGAAGAGTTGCTAAGCTATCGCAACTTGTCCACGGTGACGAATTTTCCCTTCGCAGTTGTTGCCTCTGGAAACGGCATTTGGATGATTTCTTCTGGCGACGTGTAGTTGTGGCAGGTTGTACCATACTTTCTTTCGGGGGACTTTCCGACACCTCTCGTCCTGAACCATGTTGCAGCATTCCCACGCACATCTGGTGGCACTATCATTCAGATTGTGGAAACCCCGAGGATGACATGTCACTTAAGATCCAAGATGATCCAAGGCAACCAAGATTCGGAAGGTCCTGGAGCACCACAAGTTCCAGTAGAAGATCTTCAGAATTCCATCAAAGATGTGTCTTGGAGATAAAGGATATATTTCCCACACAGCTGTTGATTTACATGTTGGAAGATGTTGGAAGCAAATCCATGAGTTTGGGGCTGAAATATGGATTGCACTTGATGCCAAAAGGTCAGAGGAAGCGGGATGAAAATGACTTGTGAGGTCCACCACGTCAAACAAACATTTGAAAAGATAAAAGGGTGCGCCCAAACCCCACCAGAAGCGTTTTTTCTGGTAGCCAATGTATTGATAAACGGAATATAAACGGAATCAATCCCAGAGAAATTGCTGGAGGTATTCCCTACATTAACTCTACCAGTAGAAAACCCAATATTTTAGTGATATTAAAATTAACTATATGTTTTTTTAAAATGTTTTTAAGCTCTAATAATATTCATTATTTCATATTACAGTATTGCTATCCACATATCACTCTACTATACATGTGAACCCAATCAAGCCGTTGAACACGTTCATCACAACGCTCGCCGCATCAATGAGGACATGGCCGTTGCACGTTCCAGAGGCGCACTCACCAAAGAGGACATCGGACTTAGCCAATTGCAGTAGCAGTTCTAGGAGTTTTACAATTATTTAATGGAATTTCATGGGATTTATTAAATGGGAAGTTTGATCTACCCTTTGGGAATGAAGCATTGTAAGATGGTTTTCCGGAAAATCGACCATTTATGAATGATGTCCCATTAAAATCTCCATTCATAGCGGATTGAACATATCTAGTTCTCCAATCTGTGTTCTTCTCATCAAAAAAGTTGGAGGATTGGCCTGATTTTTTGATGTACCACACCAGGGCCAGGTTTCTTTTGGTTGAATTCACGGTACCTGCACCAGTTGCATCGCCAAACAGCCAAGGCCCCAGGGGTGCCATCCATACAAGTTTTCTCTTGTGATTCCCTTTGATGGTCTCACAAAGTGAGGTCGGAAACATCCTTTTTGAGGACGGGACTTACTGAAAATTCCCACGAGTTGTGATTAAAAACGTGGCCAACCGCTAACCCATTGAGACATTATTGACCCCTGCCACGAAACCCTTTTCTTGGTGAGGACGCAGAGGGTATCCTCATGAAAATGATGATGTGTCTCGTCATAGGGCGAAGGAATAGCACCATCTTGCGACCAGTCAATCACAACCTGCAATCATATCTGCAGCAAACTTTGGAGGGCATAGAGCGACTAACCTCACACTGTCACTCATATATTAATCATGTGAATTGAAACAATCACCAATTCTTAAGTGTATTAGCTCAGCTAATCAGTTGATTACTCCTGTTTCCATAGAATTAGAATTTCTGACACTACAACAACCACAGCTTTTCGAAAATGTCAACAGCTCCTGAGGCTTCAACGAGTGAATGCCACGCAGAGCACAGATTTGGCCAACGCTGTGGGCTGTGCTGCAGTGGTGGTCCTGGTGACACCCAATAAGATCATCTGTGCCAACGCAGGCAAAGGATTTTCCGGATGTCCATGGCTGTCCACTGGACCTCAACATGCTAATTATGGTAATTCTATGGTCATTCTATGGTAATTATTATGGTAATTATGGATTTGGGGGTCCAATAATTACCCCAAAATCATCCAAACCTCGTAATTATGGTATGTATGGAATGTCAAGAGATTCCCCCGTATTAAGAGATTCGGAAAACAAGGGGTTTTTTATGGGGATTCCATGGGATTCCCATAATTTTGATGCAGATTTCGGGTTTTCTCGATTTTGCTTGGTGTTCTAAAAAGTATATAGAAATAGAACCGGACCTCAGATGTTGGCATTTTCTGTTTCAAACATGGTGTCCTCATGGTGGATATTCTAACATATTAAAACTAGGGTTCTATTTTGTTTCCATCCTACATGTACGGGATAAAGTAGAATCTACGGTCCATCGAAACACCATTTTGGGGCCCATTTTGTGACCAATGTTTTCCCTCTGTAATCTTGATGGCACCAGAGGGTAGCAACCCTTGACTACTCATACTAAGATTGCATACATATTCCATTCATTTTCCATACCCACAGATATCATTTCAGTATCTCCTAACTTAACAAGGGGATGTTAGTGGGATATTCAGAATATTCATATTCATACTCATATATATATATATAATATTATATATATAATATTATATATATAATATTATATATATAATATTATATATATAATATTATATATATATAATATTTTATATATAATATTATATATATAGTATAATATTATATTATATTATTTTCATCATATCCCCATGATATCCATGACATGATGTCCAGGTGACTCCAGGGCAGTGCTCTGTCGTAGGGGTCGTCCCATTGCGCTGTCGATCGATCACAAGCCCAACTTGGAAACGGCCACTGGGCACCGGCACGGCCGGGCGGGGCCCACTGGGTGTATCCTGGTATCCTCTGGTGAAAAAGGGAAGAATGGGGATATGGTGACTTACCCTCTGGTAATTTAACAAAAAACTATGGAAAGATCCACCATGCTATTCATGGGAAATGTCCACTATAAATGGTGATTTTCCCATCAGTTACGTTAAAGTTAAATTACCAGAGGGTAGATATTAGAAGATGATAGGGAAGAATGGGTAAATCATCTATGATAGGGAAGAATGACCCATTTATAGATGATATATATATATATATATTAGATGATTTACCGTATTTAAAACATATTTGGACATGGTGACTTTCAGTTATTAGATATAACATGAATGTTTACCAGAGGCAAACGATATATGTGGCTACAGCAAATGGTGACCCGTGATCTCACAGGAATGATGGTGAAATATTATGAACCCCGATACAATGATATATGGGTTGGTCTGAAAATGGGGTATATCGCCACTTAATGATATTTAATGGGGAAAAGAATGATTAACCAGTGGATGGAATGGGGTGAACTATTTTTGAACAAACCTATATGTGGATATGCTTGGTATACTTCACATTTCGAATGGGGGTTGGGGATGAAACACTATGTGATACCCTCTGGTAATTTAACATAGCTATTGAAAATGGCCATAGAAATAGTTGATTTACCCATTCAAAATACTGATGTTCCATATTTATGTAAACGTTTACCAGATGGAAAATCCCATCCCCAAAAAATCCATGATATATTCCCATTCCCATTATATTCCCATTACCATCCAGCTTTTAGGGTATCTCCATTCATGGAACCCCCCATCTGTTCGTAGCCCCAGGAGACCCGGAGGATTGAAGCCGCCGGCGGCACGGTGCAAACGGTCAAACGGGGCAACTTCACCACGTACCGCGTCAACGGACACCTGGCGTCTGAGAGTGGTTCAATGGGATAAATTCAGTACAAAACACGGGAAAATCATAGGAAATCATGGGAAATCATGGGAAAATATGGGAAAATATGGGAAAATATGGGAAAATCATAGGAAATCATGGGAAAATCATGGGAAAATACACTATTTACATGGAGGAATTATTAAAACGATGTCATAAACCACCCATGACTGGGAATGGTAAACATACCACCTATAAAAATGGTGATGACTGGGTGATGATTTATTATTGTTTTACCCACATTATAACTCATGGGTTTGAATGGTATGTTAATTACCCGGTGACTAAAAAGAACTGAATGCGTTGTAACAACATATCAGACATGTCGTTGCGATATGTCGATGGCATAGATTGGACGATCCATTGCTGTTCCAGCCAAGGAAATCTGAGCCTCTCCCGGGCAATAGGCCAGCAACTTCGATGGCTGCGGTTCCAGCATCCCGAAACTCTGTCATTTTTCACATCCCGAGATTGTTTTTTTTTGTGATAAATCTGGGAAATGTAATTTTTCAACATTTTTCAAATCTGTTCAACATGTCATCTCTTATGTTATTATTGTATTATTGTTGTGGTACAAAAATGTTGAGACACACAGGTAAACTGAGCTGCACGCTACCGTGGTGATCCGTGGTGACAGTCGCAGGTGATTTGCAGTACAAGTGTCATCGGCAACTTCCACCAGTGCCTTAGCCCATCTTAGTCAAAGGTTCACATGGAAAACTCACAAATTGTTACCCTATGGTAAATAAACATAGACCTTGGAAATCACCAATTTAATGGAAACTAATCTTCCAACCCCGACAACTGCCAGGGTCTATGTTAATTTACCAGAGGCTATCTTAACATATGATCTAACATGGGTGTGTCTGAAAATGGCCCCCCAGGTTATGACGGTTATGACCATTGGATTTTGGGGTACCTATCTATATAACTCCACTGGGACCCCAAATTTGTGTTTGGTTCCAGTGTTTGAGGTCTTGGGCTTGTTGAAGTGCTACAGTAGAATTACATGATATTATATATTTGTTCCTCACCAAGCTGCGGCAAAGGAGAAGCAAATGGTGACTTCTGTTCCCGAGATCGTTCAGCATCCCAGACATGCGGACGATGAGTTCGTAGTGGTGCCGTAGCGAAAAAAATGCGGGGGAGTGGATCAGAAATGAGAACCGGAAGAAATGGATTTAATGGTTTTAGGTTAGTACAGCAATGTCATGGATTACCCATATTTTGATGGTTTATATGTATACCATTTATGGTAAATTTGGGGATGGTTTACTATCGCTTTACAAACATCAAATTGTTTTTGGAGATATTTGGAAGTTGACTGTCCAATATTTTCCGATTGGAATTGGCCATTCATTGTCGGAGTTCCCATGCACAGTAGGCTGTTTCGAGCTGCAGATGGACTAGGCATCTGCAGAATGCAGCATGTTGCATTAAAGTTTGAGTCCCGGGTTAATAATAATGTGGTTAAAACAATAATGAGCCATCCCCAAAATCACCATTTTTATGGGTGGTATAGACCAACAAAATTGGGGTGGTTTATGACATTGTTTTAACCACATTAGGGAAATAAATGACATTTATATAAATGACATTCATCTGTCACTGGGATGGTTTAAGGGAAAAAAAATCAGGCAAGCCCTGTATATTTCATGCGGAGATCCATGGTTTCCAGTGAAAACTTTCCCAAACCAATCCTGTGAAGCTGGATGTCGAGGCAGCCAATTCACAACCAGCTGTCGTAAGCAAGAAATTTCGCGACTAATTTTTGTGTTTATGAAAATTGCTAACTAGCTAATTTATTTCAGAATTTTATCCACTCCCTAGCGGCCCAGACTCCACAAGCGATTCACCAGCCACCTTGGCCCCATCTCCATGCCACGGGAAGGGGCTGGAACCATAGGGGTTCCCCAATAACTGGATGTTTTTTTTTGAGGGAAAATCAATCTATAGATGGATGATTTGGGGGTACCCATATTTTAGGAAACCCCTTTTTAAAAAATCGTAGGGTACCAATTTTCATAGGTGGCCCTTGTTGATTTTATTGGATATTGCCTAATGTTTGTTGGAGCATAGAACCACCACATGTTTGTTGGTCCCTTCAAGGAATTCTTGACCCATTTTTTTTGCACCAAGAATAGTGGGTATATCCATCGTCATAATCCCCGAAAAAACGTATTGTACCCACATACCCTCTGGTAAACATACAAAAAGCTATTGAAAATGGCCATAGAAATAGTGGATTTACCCATTAAAAATACGGATTTTCCATAGCTATGTTAGTTTACCAGAGGGTAAATCATCATAAATCCCATATCCCGAACAGTTATAGATCCCATATACCTATATAATAGTTATCCCATTAAATGGGCCCACCAATCTGGTAAGCCCATCAAAAAAAATCAGATCCCCAAGAATTGGGCCCACTAGTTGGATATAGGTATAAAATGATATAAATATCCTCATATCCCCATAAAAATCTTGGTTTTATATGGGTGAATCCTCCATGAATTTCCAATGAACTTCCCATTGCATCACCATGTATCACCATTATATCCCTAATTTATTATGTATATATATATATATTAATATATAATATATGTAATATATTATAATATATATATATTATACCATATATACCATATAATATATATATATATATATTATACCATATATACCATATATATATATACGCACCATATATATATATATATATGCATACGTATATATGATATATATATATATATAATGGTCCCTTCAACCAATGCCACAACTCCGCTGGCTGAGATCGCCTGCGACGGCATTTGGGACGTCAAGTCCTCCTCGGAGGTGTGCAACTTCCTGCGGAAACGACTTATGCGAGAGAGCCATGGCGTAAAATGGGAATACAATGGACATTTTCATGGAATATAATGAGAATATATGGTATTAATGGGGATTAGAATGGACTATATGGAATTATTATATCCCTATATGATGGACTTTGAAATATAATGAGAATAGATGGGGTAAATGATGGACTATAGTTGGAGTATGATTATGATGGAAATGTAATGGAACGTAATGGAAATATCATGGGACTATAATGTGAATATCATGTGGGAATACAGAGGGGCAAATTCATGGGAATCGTAAGGATGGGCTGGGAGAACTTAGGGATGTTGTGGGGCCCGGTGTGTTTGTTGAATGTTGTAACCCTGAGGTTTGAGTTCAGTGCACTGAAAATCGATGTCGAGCAACAAGGATCCCCAAAGAATGTCATATGTTTTCCCAGTACAGATACATCATGCTCAATGGTGACTCGTGAAGAAACTAAAGTTAGCCTCGAAGAAACTGTTGATTTTGGAGTCACAGTCTGATCATAAAGAATGACACTTAGTTTGTAGATCCTCAATGATCCTCGGGACATGGAGAAGTGGCGAGTTTTTCATCCCTTTGTGATGGTTGGTTCTATCCCAATCATGAGAAATCTCCAGATCTTGGGCTCAGCAGATACGATTTGCATCTATGTGTTCCTTTTGTTGTAAGTATTTACCCATTCGGTGTTACATATATATATATATACGCTTGTAAGATATATATATATATATGGAAAAATATGTGTGGAAATTCATTGCATCTACCCATCATGCCTATCAAGTATTTACCCGTTCATTTGATCTATCTTCACGTTGTTGGCTTATTTGTCCTTCATTTTTATTGGCTATTTACCACATGTTACTTTCTAGAAAAAAAACTCCCAAAAGATAGAACAAATGCAAAATACTACTACAGTGAGACTTAGTGAGAGATGATTTTTCTGATCGTTTCTGTCATTTTTGTTTATGTTTCTACTATATATTATATCATAAATGAGTTATTTACCATCTGGTTATTTAACATAGCCATGGAAAATCACCATTTTTAATAGGTAAACCATCTATTTCTATGGGCCATCTATACCATGGCCATGTTAAATAACCAGAGGGTATATGTTCCCCTGTGGCTGTGCTCATCTCCAGGATGTCGCTTGAACTGGCCATGGAGCAACTCTTGGAAGCGTGTTGCACCAGCGACCCTAAGCGGTCGATGGGTTTGGGCGCCGACAATATGACCTTGATCGTGGTGCTGTCGCCCGGATGGCCGGAGGATGAGGATATCGTGGTTGTTTGATGTTGCTATCATGGGTTAATATGATAGTAATTATATAGATCAGGTACAATAATATGATGATTCTATCCACCTATAATCATCAGGAATTTTGATGTTGATATCATTCCCATGACGGATCCATGGTGCTGGTATATTAATGCTAACATGACTGGGGTATATTGATGGGATCCATCTTACCATATATAGCATACATGGATCCTATGGGATTCGTTCTTCAAAAAACTCTAAGAAGAATCAAGCAACTATGAGGAATTGTTTTTTGATTGTCTATGATTAATGTTCGGATTGAGTATTCTTATTCTTGTTGATATGATTGTTAATTCTGTTTAGAATTTTTAGATTAATGCCAACTCATCATCACTATCATTTTGACTGTTGCACGTAGTGGTGTTTTTGTTGATGATGGTACTTTTGGTCCGTCTAAAGAACCAGTGACCTTGACACAAAGTGAGAAACCGTCCTAAAATAGGTTCCAGCTTGTTCGCGAAAACTCGACCACTGGGTTTGTTCCATCCATTGGTGATTTGGACACTTTTTCGTGGCGATTTTGTGCCCCCCCCCAAGAAATATCTATCCAGCAGATTTTTGGACACATATTCCTGGAATCCATAAATGAACATCGATGTTTTTTGTTTCTCACCAAGCCATGAAATATCTAAGTTAGCAGTCATAAAAGATATAAGTCAGAGTGGTACTCCCAAATCATCCTAATATTTTTTGGGGGTTTTCCATATGTAAACAATCCAAAAGGAGTACCCCATTGATGGAAACCCGTTGGAACCCCCCAGTTGAGGTTCAACCAGTGGGACCCTGACGGCTGCTTGACCAGTGGATGGAATGGGGTAGCCATGGGTAGCCTTTAACTCATACTGGTTCCATAGTTGTGTCAGGCTTGTGAGATACCCGGCCTGGTAAACATACAAAAAACTGATGGGAAATCACCATTTTATGGTGATTTTTCCCATGAAAAATGGTGATTTTCCATAGTTTTTTGTATGTTTACCAGAGGGTAGTGGTTAACCGCGGTTAACCATCAGGTTTGTTCCATGGATGGTGATACGATGTGAAATGGTTTGCATGGGTTGCATGGGTGGTCTCTGGCATTTTGGACATGCAACATTGGGTCTCACTTTTGTGGCCCAGGGTCAACAGGTCAACACCTCTTCGGGTCTCCCGGTTTAGTTCAGCAGCCCTTGCAAAATGATGCCTTTCCATGCCTTTCCTAAAATGAACATGGATTTTTTTATGAATTTCTTGGAACCGCACTCTAGTTTTGTACTGTTTCACGTATGGTTGATGTTGCAGCAACATGAGATTCTCATCGAAAACAAGCCGCAGTCGTGTTGTGTGGCTCAACTGGCTCACCACATCTCACCACCAAACCATTCTCAGTTCTATTGATTTCCCTGGTTTGTTTATTAACAACATTTGGCAGGTGTGTATATCATTGTATATCCACTATGACTAGCCTCATAAATGGCTCGACCACATCGGCAGATCGTCCTAAAAAAACGGAAAACCCACAGATTTCATGGTTGATGGCCATATTGAGATACTGGGGTATACTATGGTATACCTCCATATACCTCCAAATGTTTAGCAAGCTCAACTGTCACATTAGTTGATATCCCCCCATTTTTCTGAACATGACTCATCTCCTTGCAGGGTAGGGTTGTGAAGAAAATATATAATTAGTTTACATTATAGTACTATCTATAATGTTATATAGATATCCATTATGGTTGGTTATAAACCCCCATTTCAGACCTAACCACCTCAGCTCCAAGGAAAGGCGTCTCCTTCTTGGACCTCATGTGCTTGCACGGTGACATGACGTGCAAATGTTCCGCTCCTGCGCCACTCTCCAGCCTCTTACGCTGTGAGAAGCGGCGTGGCGTTGCCAGATGGACATGGGTCAAGGAACTCATATGATGAATCAATATGATGGAAATATGGAGATGATAGAATATAATAGAGAATACAATAGAATAATGTGGATAGGACATTGATTCAAGTTCATGGAGATGATATATCATGATAGAATCAATGAAGTCTGGGGCTATATCTGGATGGGAATACCTCAAATTCTCCAAAAAGTGGATTGTTGATGAAGATCCCCAGATATCCCTAGACCATTCTGTTGATGTTTCCGATGAACTGCGGGGCCTGAAGTGACCCATTCCCACATGGCCGCTTCGTGCACTCAGAATGCGACTTGGCTGTCGTCGCTAAACCACTTCGGAGCCAGCGCAGCGTCTCACAGATTTGGGGGGGTCCAAGACACAATGGGCGATCCCCAAACCATGGTGTGGATATTTTTGGATAATGTGGGGGTACCCCCATTTTCCTTAGGAAACCTCCATTGGTCGTCTCACTGTTTTGAGAGTTTCGGCTGGGCAGATGAAGATTTCGGGCACTGCACAGCGCAAAACAATGTTCGCTTCATGGCTTTCAACGGTCCCTATATGGTAGAGACTCCTGGTTGTTCTGGGGAAGAAAAATCCGGAACCCCCAAGCATAGTCTGACCCTAATCCCAGTTGAAAAGCAGAAAACCCGTGTTGCAGTGCCCAAAATCTGTTGCCTTCCCAGGGGTAGCATCTCGCATGAACTTGCATGGTTCAAGATTTGGTGATTGGAAAGTTCTCCACAGGATCTCACCATGTTTTCTGGTGATGTTAGATGTTATTCCACGTATTACAATGCGGCATATGGAATGAGGTGCCCATTCTGGTGTTCATGTGTGATCTATCTTAATTATACTTGTCACCATTCTCATTGGTGTCTAATGACTTGAATCTGACCTATATAAGTTACAAGTTGATGTTTCAACTATACCTAGATTCCGTGGTCTTGTCTTAAAGCAGCGCAAAGACCAATGATGCCACCATTGTCCCATTCAAAATACACTGACAGATGAACTTGAAGACTGAATCATTCAAGATGAGCCCAACTGGGAATAGCGTTTAAAGACCGACTCGCGTGATTCTGGAAAAAGGATGAAAAAGGTCAGATGCCCAGGATTTTGTGAGCTGAGACATGCTGAGACGTTATTTGTTACTCATGATTCGTCAGTTGAGTTGATCCACAACTGCTGCAGCCCAGGTATCACTTTGGTTACTCGCCCACTGTCGTGTGCGCCGAGACGCACCGGACCGGCACCGGCGAAAGGGGAATGTCTCGATCCACACCACTGACTTGAAACAAAGCTTGAGGTGTGTGTTCATGACTTGCCACCTTTTGTGAAGTCTAGATATTGTGAGTTCCTGAAGATACAAAACTCAGTTCCGCTCGTTGTTTGGCTCAACCATGGTCGGCTTTGAGGTACCCGAAACGATCGGAAAAGCAGCTCTTTGTGAACCTGGCTCCTTGGATCCCGTCGTGCCGTGGTGCCAATTCTATAAGCTTGGATGGATGATGATGGCTAGCCAGGTAGGTATACTATAGATAGGTACCTAGATACATAGATAGAGAGATAGTTTGGTAGATAGAAAGAAGGATAGGTAACCAGATAGGTTAGATGAGAGTAGATTAGACCAGATCACAGTAGATTAGATTAGATTTGGTAGATTGATATACATCTTACCTTGCCATCCACTTGGTCTGAGATGGTGACAATCTCCTATCGCCAAGTAGCAGGATGTGCCTGTTGTAGTGGTGTCTGGTTGTGAATGATCCAATGATATTCAATAATGAATGGGATCAGTCGACTGATAGAACATGTAGTATCAACCTTTTTGGGTTGCAGAAAACAAATTTTGGTTTTACATAATTTGATATAGTTTGATCAGCTTAAATTTACATTGCTCCAAGAAGTTCATATTTTCACCCATGACTTCGAGGTGACCCAGTGCGAGCAGCTTCGCATTCCCGTTTTGACGGACCTACCGAAGCTCAAAGGTGCGATGTGCTGTGCCATGTCACCTGGAATTTTAGGGTATCCCCAAGCTACCCGGGAATTTGTGTTAGCCTCAAAGAAAAGTGCAAAGAAACCCTCGACATCAACCATTTAACATCATTTAACCATATATAACATGATATAACCCTCTTTGGGGGTATTAGAATTACATGTGGATATTCATCCTTGAATTTCCGAAGGGGTTTACTAAGCCCCCCATCGAACCTCAGTAGGGGCTCATTAAAACCCTATTTATGGATATGGCTCTATCGACAAAGATCACCCAGCAGTTGAAGTTGATACTGCCGTTGATAGATGTTTTCTGTGGTGTCCTCCAAAAGAAATTAGAATACACCATAGGAATCCATAGAAAATACCAACGATTTTGGGTCATATCATGGTATATCCATTGGGGTTTGCACCCTATAGGGTGTATCACACCACCATAGACATCTATAGAATATAACCATCTATAACCATATATCAGTTTTAAATCATGCAAAAACTATAGATTTTTCTATGGGTTTTTTGATGGTACCACTATAGAAAAACACACCCATCCTGCGGGACCCCATTCGTCGCAGATTTTGACGTGGCGCTGGATGCTGTCTTTGGATTTTCCTTCAAGGGCACGTCACTGGGATGAATTTTTGAAGGGAAGGCTGAAGTACACTATATAATTATATGGTTATATCCTTGGGTTTGGAGTTAGCTCAAACTTCTATACATTTATTTTGTTAGCCATGTATTATATATTATACTATATTATTGTGACTACAATATATCTCCATCTATACATATAACAATAAAAATGATAGTTTTTTTTAATTTTTTATTAGCCGTGTATTATATATATAATTATATATATATGTTATACAGTATAATATATATATATATTTATTTATTTATCTATACATAACAATAATATGGATATAGTGCCTATAGTGATTACATATATACTATACATATCCATCTATACATATATAACAATAATACCAGTATTAATATTGTCCTAATATAACAAATCCTTCAAATAATATAACATACTACTACATAGTATTAACATACTATAACATACATACTATTAATATGTAGTATATTGATATATAATGATATTCCTAATAGTATAACATAATACTATTAATAGTATAATTAATAGACATACATAATATACTACTTGTCTACCATATCCTTCGCTCGTCCTTAGCCAAGAAGCACCTGATCCTCACCATCCCAGGCCGCGAGAACCTTTCGCGAAAATTTTGAAGGTCCGTGTCACGTCTTCGGAATCTCAGGGTCGCAACGGGGGGAATAAACCACCTATAAGTGGTATGTACATACATACATCATGTATATATTATATATAATTTGGGATAGAACCATCAGAAATGGGTATCCCGCATTGTCCCGGAATCAACTAGACCATCAAGAAGGATAGGCGTTGAGGTGCAGTCGACATGTTTGCAGTCGAATGGCTGATAACTTGGTAGAAGTGAAAACTGTGTTTTCACCAGTGTCATCAGTCAACAAATATTGTCACCTCCCAATCAGATCCTTTGGATGGCGGGCCTCAAAAAATATGAGATATGGCCTGGATGTAACTCCAGGCTCTTCAAGACTCATCGTTGCCCGTGATGTCCGTGGATATCCCCAGTGGTTGGGATGTGGAGCATCTCGGCAGACTACTTCACAGCACCATATGTCAAGATCCATTGCTGCATGCTGACTCTGACGTCACAAAAGGTGTGTACCCTCTGGTAATTTGTTACGGTTTGCTAAGCCATGGCCCATTGAACAAGTTGATTTACCGAAATTCAAGATGGTGATCTTCCACGGCTTACCAGGCTACCAGAGGCTAAATCGCAGCCAGTCGCAGCAAGCTGTTTCGGGTTGCCAAAGAATGACCACCTGACAGCTCAGGAAGGGTGATACTACTGGCCGATTGGCGGCAGAGGGAGCCACTGCTTCTTGAAATTGGCGACCTTCTGAAATCTCCACGATTTTTTACGAAATGATTGGTAAATGAGTCAATCGAAACCAATGGTATTAAACCAATGGTATTATATTGGCTTTAATGAAAACCAATCCTTTTTACGAAACCAAAAGCCAATATTTCATTAAGCCAATCCTACCCAAAAAGATGTAACTGTCGCCCGCCGGAGGCAGCGGTTTACAGCCAGATACGCTGATTTCCCTGACAGCGCCCAAGAAAGCTGCAGCCTTCTTTCGTGGACGTCACTTCTTAGGCCGATTCGCCGGCGAACTGCTGCGCGAACGTTCGTGACAAGAGTTGGAGGATCCCAATCCTACTCTGGTTTCAAGTAGGTTTCAAATCTCTAAGTATTTCAATTTGTTATTTATAACTATCTATAACTTAAATATAGTTATAATATTGATTTATGATATGTTCATTGTCTCGTTGAAAGAGTCTGTGAATAGGTAGCTGTGAGTTGAAACCGGGCCACCAAGATGAGGTGGAGCTCTAGAGCCCAATGAATAGATCATCATATATTAACTACCATTAACGACCAATTCAACATTCAACTACCAACTGTCGAAAGTATTCCAACATCATATTCCAACATCATATTCCAACATATTCCAACATATTCCAACATATTCCAACATATTCCAACCACTTAGTCAACCAATGATTCAACTCTATCCGACTCAAAAGCAGTTTGCTTCGCCAGGTGGTCGATTTGTTCCCCCGGGCATCGTGGATTCTCGGTGCAATGACCATGGACCTGGTGTAGAAAAAATCAGAACTTTATGGAATTGTTGTGTGTTTCCCATATGAATGTTATAGTCAAATGATGTCAAATGAATCATGAATGTTGGATTAGAATTAAATGACATGATCCAAAAAATGAGAAAGTTGTGGTCAAAATCTGCAGGTGTGTGCGTTTGGAGCACAAGATGTTTGCTTTTCATGTCTTGTTGAACCATTGACCGGTGAACGATATGAACACATTCAAAGACCTACCTAACTGGATCCTAAATCCCAAGCAGTCATCTAGTTGTTGATCCTTTGGGAAAATGAGCGCTTGCACCCTACGGTCAATGTGAGATCCAGAGTTTACAGCTACCAAAAAGTCCAGATTCCAGATATGTCCAGATAATCTATATCTCCAGATTCAGTTGACATCATATACGAATGAATCTGGTAAACCAAAATAATTAGTAGCCTACCCCTGTAATTAAGGGATGGTTGGAAACTCACCCAATTTATAGTTGGTGTTATTATTGGATTTACCAGATAGTTGGAATCTATTTTTTAGTGATAACCCACCTGTAGTCTCATATTGGGGATGGTGAACATAGGGTTTCTTGTACTTGCGACGTGTCACCAGCTCCTTCCGTGACTTTGCGGCACCCGAGGAGAAGTACAATCTTCAGCTGCCAGAGTATCCAGGAGTGTCGCAAATCGCAGCTCAGCTGCCAGATCTGGGCACCCTCCAAGTTCTAAATTGAGCCGCCATATTTTCATGAATCCACTGGATTCTTTTCTGATTTTCGTTGTCTTCCCTCTGTTTCACTGGATTTGGGGATGGTTTCCATGATTTTCCATGGGTCCAGCGCTGAGGTTGAGTTGGAAGGTTGGGCGCCAGAACGGTGAGCCAAAGCGCCGCCCCGTGCCGCCCCGTGACCGTCCCCATGGTGAGGGGTGAGAGCTGGTGAGCCCGCTGGAAGATTTTGCCTGAAGAAGTGGTGATTGACTCCGGCCGTTTTTTTTTCACCCGAAAGGCGGTTTTTTCACCACAGAATCCACAGACGTTCAGAAAAGTCAACGCTGCGGTGACCTGCAGGTAGCGACTGTACGCCAGGTTTTTACGGAAGGGATGAGTGGGATATGATGTTCCATCATGTTCCTTAACATGGCAGAAACGATGTTCTTGTCGTAATTATTATCATGTTGTATTATGTTGTATTCAGACACTTGTCCACCTACTTTCCCTTGATCTACCACTCACCTGTAATGTGAAGATCATCGATTCATGTGGATCCATCCGTGAAGCCAATCGTGGGGGGATTGTGCCCCAAAGCCTAACCTTCACAAGACCGTAGGACAATCTAAGGCATACCAGATCTTAGCAATAGACACCAGATTGAGATAGCCTCACTAATAGAATCCCCTTCATTTGGCTAATGATTATATTATGGATAATGATGATCATATTATGGATCATGATCCATATTATAATAGTTATAATCAAAATAGTTAGAGATATGTTCCTTGTTATTGGTGCTCCCAAATTGCAAGCCCTTTCCCAAATTGGTTCACACCCCGCTCCAGGCGCCAGTTCGCGACTCAAACAGCCGGCTCCAGGCCGTAGATTCACCATCAGATTCACCATACAAAGAAGCCATAGTGACGACTATAGTGATTAAATGTGATTAACATGGATTAACCAGAGCTATCATTCATAATTAGTAATATTGTGGTTGGGATCCTGGAATATCCTAGATGTAGATTGAAGGCAATACTAAAGTCATGGCCAACATTTGTCGCTTCTCAGTGATTTATACTATACCATATAGAAAATGCTTCTCAAGTCTAAAAGTTGAAAGGATACCCCAGTGATTCAAGGGTCTATTTCTATACTGATGTGGTCCCTCTGTTGTGGATACCCCGTTGGTCAATCTCAATGGACTCAAAACAAATTTCGCTAAGAGAAGTCTCCGACATCCGGTCCTTTCGATTGTTTTGAAGTAGACAACCAACCCTTATTGAAGTGATTGTCATCGATTAAACAATCCCTTATATCGAAGATTGTTGAAGTTATTTCTATTGATTTCCATTGATTTGGGACGTCATTTGGAGATGATCTCTGGCCTGGGATCACCATTAAATGGTGACAGGTTTCAGCGGAAGCAAAGGCGCAGACACCGGTGGAGGCTTGGAGGGACATGAATCCAAGAAGCCGTACAAGTTGCAGCCCCTGAGAAAATCACTTCCACAATTTGAGCCGCAGCTTGAGGTGATACCCTCCGATCCCAAACAATAGGTTCAAGTGTATTGTTCAATGTCTTTAATCACTTTCTTAATATCTTCATGATGGCATCGCTTTTCACTTTGGCACCCACTAAAAAGCAAGATGGATTATCCAAAAAAAAGCCATGTCCAACTGGAAATTCATGTTCCCCTGCCATTGGCCAGGCTGCAGTCTCTCCTTCGGTGGTGCAGGTGCAAATCGCGAAATGACACAGCTAGAAGTGACGGCTAATGTCCAGAATATCAACCCCATTTTTTGATGTGTACTGTATATATTATATTATACTATATTATATTATATTATATTATATTTTATTATATTATATCATATCATATCATATTATATATATATATATATTATATTATATCATATTATATTATATCATATCATATTATATTATATTATATTATATCATATTATATTATATTATATCATATTATTTTATATTATATCATATTATATTATATCATATCATATTATATTATATCATATTATATTATATTATGTTATATTATATTATATTATATCATATTATACTATATTATATTGTATCATATTAAATTACATTATATTATATTGTATCATATTAAATTACATTATATTATATTATATTGTATTGTATTGTATTAAATTGTTTTATATTATATTATATTATATTGTATTGTATTATATTATATGATATGATATTGTATTGTATTGTATTGTATTATATTGTTTTATATTATATTATATTATATTATTGTATTGTATTGTATTATATTGTATTATATTGTATTATATTATATTATACTTTATTGTATTGTATTATATTGTATTATATTGTATTATATGATATTATATTGTATTATATTATATTATATTGTATTGTATTGTATTATATTGTATTATATTGTATTATATTATATTGTATTATATTGTATTGTATTGTATTATATTGTATTATATTATATTGTATTATATTATATTATATCATATTATATTATTATATTGTATTATATTATATTATATCATATTATATCATATTATTCAGAGTTCCTAAGTCTCTAGGATGGAGGGGTTTCAAAATAATTTTTTATGATTTATTTATGATTTGAATACGATTTCCATTTATGATTTTTTTATGGGTTCAAATTGTGGTTATGATTTTTTTATGGTTTGGATATGATTTTTTTATGATTTTTTAATGGTTTTTTTAGTCCTCAGAATCTGGTTTTCAGCTAAAAACTCGAGAAGTTTTCGATTTTTTTATGATTTTGCTAGAGTTTCCTTTTCCCCAAAGCCTTTTCAGCAGAAAATTTGATTTTGGAAACAAAATCGTAAAAAAAATCGTAAAAAAATCGTAAATGCATCCAAGGTCCCCAGAATCTGGTTTTCAGCTAAAAACTCGAGAAATTTTCGATTTTTTTATGATCTTGCTAGAGTTTCTCTAGGAAAATCGTAAAAAAATCGTAAATGCGTCCAAGGTCCCCAGAATCTGGTTTTCAACTAAAAACTCGAGAAATTTTCGATTTTTTTATGATTTTGCTAGAGTTTCCTTTTCCCCAAAGCCTTTTCAGCAGAAAAAATGATTTTGGAAGCAAAATCGTAAAAAAATCGTAAAAAAATCGTAAAAAAAATCGTAAAAAAATCGTAAGTGCATCCAAGGTCCCCAGAATCTCGTTTTCAGCTAAAAACTCGAGAAATTTTCGTTTTTTTTGTGATTTTGCTAGAGTTTCTCTGTAAAAATCAAATTTTCTGGTGGAAAAGACTTCAGGGAAGAGGAAATTCTACGAAAATCGTAAAATAATCGTAAAAAAATCGAAAATTTCTCGAGTTTTTAGCTGAAAACTAGATTCTGGGGACCTTGGAAGCATTTACGATTTTTTTACGATTTTTCTACGATTTTCCTAGAGAAACTCTAGCAAAATCATAAAAAAATCGAAAATTTCTCGAGTTTTTAGCTGAAAACCAGATTCTGAGGACTAAAAAACCATAAAAAAAATCATAAAATAATCGTATCCAAAACCATAAAAAAAAACATATCCAAACCATAAAAAAATCATAACCACAATTTGAACCCATAAAAAAATCATAAATGGAAATCGTATTCAAATCATAAATAAATCATAAAAAAAAAATATTTGCCAAAAATGGCATCCTAAAGGATTTAAGAAGTCTGAATCATATTATATTATTATATTGTAATATATTATATTATATTGTATTTTATTATATTGTATTATATTATATTGTATTATATTATATTATATCATATTATATTATTATATTGTATTATATTATATTATTTTGTATTATATTATATTAATTATATTATATTACGGTGATGTGATCTGATTGATTTGTGATTCAGCCATATTTGCCAAACTGGAGATTTCGCAAGAACCTGAGGAACTTATGGAAGAGTCAGGTATTTCTTGGGGAAGAGCATGGCTGGTGAAGATTTTAGTCGTTGCTGGCAACCAGGCTATGGCGTGTCCCCTCATGGAGGCGGAGCATGGCCGTGGGGGCACCAGTTGGAAATACATCAGAAAGAGTCTTTAGCTCGGAAGACTAGATATTTATATAATTATATATATATACATTTATAGATATTTTACATACTACTAATAGTAACTTGATAGTAGTATGAAGTTGTGGATCACTCCATTTTCACCGCGTAGAGCTTGTTATCAGGTGCTATGTGCCCCCCATCGTGGATGAGATCCACATGGATCCACATTCCTTCCAAAAAAGGAATCCCAATGCATTTAGTCAGGCGATACTGCCACAAACTTGGGAGGCGCCTTCTGTACGGGTCGTTTTGGTGAAACAAAGAGATTGTCAGGGAATGGTGTTGAAAGGACCTGAAGATCTAGATTTGTTTGTTTTCTAGAACCATTTCGTTTCAAAACTTTCTGAAGGGACAAGACTCAGAGAAAAACACTTGGTTTCGCTATGATTCCACCATCCGAGTTGAACTTAAAGATTGCACGGTCCTTTGTGCAGGACCTGAATAAGTCCCCACTTTACCACTCCTGGCACCCCCAGCTGGCCCGATATTCGCTTGGATCTGTGGTGCGGCAAGCCTTGGCTAGCAAGAGACTTTGAAAGACGGAGATATGCGGAGCTGCATCTTCAGACAGTCAGTTTTCAAGGTTCCAAATCACCAAACGCTGATGATAGCAATGAACAGTTGAAATGAAGAATTGAAATGAACAGCTTGTCCTTCTGGCTGGATTGATCCCGAGTGGAACCTCATATGGCTGGAAAAAGCAGCTTGTCCTTCTCATGTAGTACCCAAATCGATCCTGTTACTCCACAAAAATGGGGGCTCATAGTCCCCCGTTCACCAGCTCCAGGTCACCTCCCCATGGCCGCAGGTGCCATAGATATACCTGGGATATTGATGTCAATGGGGAGATGTGAAGTGTTGGAGGAAAGATGAGGAAACCATGGTTTCTACCCCCAAGTGTGGCGCTTCCATCCACCTTCCAGTCCGGAAAGAACTCATCCAACCAGCAACCGTGATCGAAGTATCGGTATATCATAAACAAACTCCAACATGAATTTGAGAATATAAGGGATCAATGCAGATAAATCCTATGCTATCAAAATATGGGATATCAATGGATATTACATTACATGATATAATCGACGCAAAATCCGAGAAAACAATAGGAATCTAAGGCATTTAACATGGATTTGATCGATTAGAGCAGGTACAAGTCAATCTCAAGCTGCTACACCATGTGGTGCCTGGACTGAAAGGGATGGGATGGGTGAGGGCGCGGTCCGGGAATTGATATGAATTGTATCATAATCATCATCATCATCAACAACAACGACATCGACATCATCATAATCACCATCATCATCATCATCAACATCATCATCATCATCATCATCATCAACATCAACATCAACATCAACAGCATCACTATCACCAACATCATCATCATCATCAACATCATCATCATCATCATCATCATCAACATCAACATCAACATCAACAGCATCACTATCACCAACATCATCATCATCATCATCATCGACATCACCATCACCATCACCATCACCATCATCATCATATATACTGTAATCATTTTAGATCTACAAACCATGGCTAATGATGGATTATATGGTGTTTATAGCTGGGTGGATTATAGCTGGGCGTTTTTATGTAATTAATCGATTTCATCCGCCAAACGTTTGCCAATTACTGAAGGGATCAATTGGGATAAACATGGGGATTTTTTGAGACGAAAATGGGGAATGAAACCATCAACTATAGGGATTAATTAATGCGAAAGCTTGATCAAGCCAATAATAAACCCAACAGTTGAGGATGGAATTTACATGAATTTACCATTTATGGCCATATTTTATGGGGGGATGGTTCATAACTGGATGTACCACATTAGATATGGTGATGGATCAAAAAGTATTGTTTTTTTTGATGTCATCGTATCAAGAGCAATTGATTCAATGGGATGGTTTCATATGCTGTTCCTTTCCTGCAATTCTGTTCTTTTGGTCATTGGTCAAACTCAAACCCTCCGCTTGCTTTTAACTCGTGATTTCTTCAAACAAAGACTTGTCGGGGTGAAAGTATGCATGCAGTATTTACACACATAATATTGCATGAATTGAAACACCGGCAAACAACATGTCGACCATCGTCGACCTAAGATAAAGTTGAGCCAACAAAAATACGACTGTGCATTGATAGTTTGCCACATGTCTCATCGCAACCAACTTTTATGCAAATATAATGGAGATACAATGTGTGATCAACAAACCAACAATATATCATTCTGGAAGATTGGAGTTAAAGATATTATTACATGATATTCGAAGGAAGTTTAGAAGTCAAACTTCCGACAATATGGACAGATGAAAAGCAGAGTAGGGGAGAGGCAGAGAGAAGAGGAAGATTAGAAGAGAGAAGATGAGAAGAGAAAGAGTCAGAAGAAAGAAGATACAGATGCGCGAAAAGGTAGGAAAGTCGCGAAACACTGTGTTTCTCCAATGATTTGTGGCTCAGGAGGGTCGAAAAGTAGGCTCGCTAAAGCGGCGGGTGCGGAGCCAGCTGGTCACAGGAGCGATGAAAAATTGCACGCCGTTGTGGCGCGAAGCACATTTCCAAGTCAAAAGGTACAAAACACTAGGGGTTCGGACCACTTTTGGAAGTTGAGATGTCGAAAAAGTGCACGCCGTTGTGGCGCGAAGCACATTTCCAAGTCAAAATGTACAAAACCCCTCAGCGTCGGACCACTTTTGGAAGTTGAGATGTCGAAAAAGTGCACGCCGTTGTGGCGCGAAGCACATTTCCAAGTCAAAATGTACAAAACACACCATTCTCGGACCACTTTTTGAAGTTCAGATGTCGAAAAAGTGCACGCCGTTGTGGCGCGAAGCACATTTCGAAGTCAAAAGTGTAAAAAAACTCAGAGCCTTTTTTGACGTGAAGATGTCGAAAAACTTGATAGACCTTGAGCCTTTTTTGACGTGAAGATGTCGACCAAGTAGACATTGATTAACTTAACTAACTTGACTAACTTAACTAACTTCACTAACTTAACTACCCTAACTTCGGCGACAACAGCAACAGCAACAGCAACAACAACAACAACAACAAAAACAACAACAACAACAACACCAACCACAACCACAACAACAACAACACCAACCACAACAACTACAACAACTACAACTACAACAACTACACGACAACTACAACTACAACTAGAACTACAACAACAACAGCAACAACAACAACAACAGCAACAGCAACAACAACAACTACAACTACAACTACAACTACACAACAACAACTACTACTACACCTACTACTACTACTACTACTACTACTACTACTACTACTACTACTACTACTACTACTACTACTACTACTACTACTACACCTACACTACACAACAACTACAGCTACAACTACTACAACAACTACAACAACAACAGCAACAACAACAACAACTACAACAACAACAGCAACAACAACAACAACAACTACTACTACTACACCTACTACTACTACTACTACTACTACTACTACTACTACTACTACTACTACTACTACTACTACTACTACTACTACTACTACTACTACACCTACACTACACAACAACTACAACCACACAACAACTACAGCTACAACTACAACAACAACTACAACAACAACTACAACTACAACTACAAAACAACTACAGCTACAACTATATGACTGCAACTACACTACACTAATTACATTACACCACAACTACAACTCCACTACGCTACAACTACAACTACAGCTGCAGTACATCACACTACATCCAGCAGTTGTGGGTGAGGTGACCACTGCAACCATTGCAACCATTCCAGCAAACACAACTCCAACCGCTCTGCCATCCGTGATTCACAACAACCAACGTCTCCTATAGGTTTCCTATTCTGAAACTTCCGCCACCGCCTTGTGCGGTACTACTGGAAACCATGGATCAGTAACTAAAGATCAGGTATATCAACATTATATATCATGATTGTAACAAAGTAACCCATATTTTTTCATGGCCAATCATTATCAGGTATAACACTTATAACAACAATCACCAACTTGCCCACTGTATACCCTCTGGTAAACTAACAGTTCGCTATGGAAAATCACCATCTTTAAAAACGGTAAATCAACTATTTCTATGGGCCATGGCTTCAAGTTCGCAAACTGTAACACATTACCAGAGGGATCCAGAGGGTATTTCCCATGAATATCCCCATAAAACTAAGATATTCCCATGAAATATCCCATAAAATACCAGAGGGTATTTCCCCTGATGTTTTTTGAATATCCCATGGATTCCCATGGTATGTTTACAATTCCCAGATGGCTGGTTTATGATGCTCCCGGAGGTGTGCCTGGTTGCTCCGTGCTGCCGGTGGTAAAAACGGCCCTGGCCAACATGGAGCAATACAGGCGCCCTCGGAATCCTTGGAGAAGCAGTGGGTAAGGAGTCATCTCAACCTGGAAATGCTGGTTTTGATGGAGGTTGGACCCAAAAAAATCTAGTTGAAACCTATGAAAACTTCTGGAAAACCTATAAACACAATATGAAAAACTACAGAAAACTATGAACACATATGAAAAAGACATGAGTTTTCACGAGTTTGCTTTGGTTCTTGAAGGAAAACAAACATGTTTTTTTTAAGGAGAACTCCTTCAGGTGCCCTCCAGTCATCATTTTCGATGATTCCAAGAGCATTGCCATGTTCGATTGACGAACGGTCACATCTTCAGAACCCGGAAATTGAAAGATTTTTTTATCCGAGAAGTTTGACATAAATTGATTTTATGTTAGATCATGGGATGTTCACCTGGCAAATTTGTTCCATCCGATGGCGATCTGAGAGGTGACAACTCCAAAGTTGGTCAAGAAGCAGGTAAACCTGGAATTGCACGGTTTGATATCCCTGATTGCTTTACATTGGTTTTTCTTGGTAGAGGAACTATCACTCTTGGGGCTGAGAAAAAAATGTGACACGCAGCAGTATAGCAAACAGAGTTGAAAGTTGATAGCCACTGAAAAATATGATGCAAACAAGACAGCCCAATGTGGCAGGCATCAGAATCTGTTTAAGCTAAGTGGAAGTGTCCAATCCATGCCAATAATCATCCAAGTCATGGATGACCAAACTTTAGTATTGAAACAACCATGGTGACTTAGGGGATTCTCTCATGGAAAAAGAACCCCCCATTTCACTTTTCAATTGTCCAATTAAATACCATTAAATGTCCCATAGATCCTTAAAATTCAAACCATGGTTATTTTCCATAAATCCATACTACGGTGTGTCACCATTAAATTTCCCATGGATCCTTTTACCAGAACCGAAGTTCATTTTGAGACACCATGGAGGAAAGTCCCCATGGTAAAGCTCTTTCAGGCCAGCCTTGTCGCCCGACCAGGCAGTGGAGGGTGGCACATCCCCTTTGGTGACAAAGCTATGGAAATGACCGGACAGTACCCCCAAATCATCAATTTTTGGGTGATCTTTCATGAAATAAAGTAATATCCAGTTGGGGTACCCCCTAGGAAACCTCCATATTTTTTGGGTCATAGGCAAATCATCTATAATTGGGCCATGTTCCATCATTTTCTATGGCAAAGTGCTAGTTTACTTGCGAGTAGTCCCTAGTTTCTAGCAGGTCACATGCATGATACTTTCAGTCTATGCTGAAACTGAGATTGCTAGGTGCAGCTAGTTGCTGCGTTCCTAAGAAGACATGATTAAGCAGCAATACCCTCAGTCACTCCATTTTTTCTCGCTGTTTTTCACTCTGGCTTGTGCCCCCCCACCCCAGCCGCACCACTTATACTTTCAAACCTATAACATCTACTCGATATCTACATCATATCATTCGTACCCTGCCCTGATACCTTCCTTCATTTTGTATGGAGCTTACCATGAATTACATACATAGATATACATAGTAAATCAGAGTAATCAACAAATCTACATATCAGATATATCATATATATTTGGTATACTAAAATGTAATTCCAGGGATGCTGAGTTGGTGAACCTCTAACAGGTCCCCCAAAGGGGTTCCCCTTGACGGGTCGTCCTCGCAGGCCGCTCAGGACGAACTCCAACGGGTGCAGGTGGCCTGGTGAAGCCAACGGAATTACTTGTGCTAGTTGTGGTAATTTACCCTATGGTAATTTGTACGTAAATAATGTAATATAGTATAGTGTGATATGATTTAATTTAATGTCATAGAGTATATACAATACAATACAGTATAATTATAATATAATACAATATAATATAATGTAATATAATTTAATGTAATATAATATAATATAATATATATATATATATAAACATCATAATGTGGATTAGCATAAATTACCACTCTTCTTTGTGGTATGAAGTTTCAAGATTACCATAAATGGATTGTAACACAAAAACGGTTGGTTTATGATTGGCTTTACCATATTGTGCCGGGTAAATGTGATGCTATTCTACGATATTCGGACATACCATGCTAGATCATGATAAATCAGAAGCTGTTTTGAGGAGATGCGAAAGCTAAAAAGCAAGCTGAACGGTTGTATATTTCAAATTAATATTCAAGCGCCAATCCCAGAAGAAAAACTAATCATGTCTTCCTTTCGTGAATCTGTCCATGGTGACCATGGTTTTGAGGCTGAACTTCGAGCCTTAAAGGAAGAGATGGTGCAGTTGAAGCAGGCACCGTTGTTGTCGGCTTCCTTTGGGTAATGTTATGATATATGATAATTAATATTGACAAATAAATACAAACCAAACGATATTTTCAGAGTCACTAGTCGTGAGACTTGATGGCAAGACTAAAAACATTTCAGTACTAGACAAACATAGACAAAAATAGACAAAATCACTTCAGCTAGGCTACTGGTATAGCAGCTATGCATGTAATTGTAGCCAGCAACACTCAAAGTGCCACAAAAAACAGGGTCTTTGGCTGGGATCAAACGGGTGGTGGTGCACCGGATTGCCCCGGATGGTCCCCAAAATGGGATGGGATCAACAGGCAGATGATCACCTCCAATTGCCATGCTCATTCTGAATGTGTCATGGGTGGTGCCAAACCAAAGGCCCCAATGGGTGATCCCCAGTCCATTCCCGGATCAGCTGTTTCAGGGCTACCATGAGGTCAAAGAGCAGCAGGCTGGGTGTGGAACCAGCTCCCATGATGCCTTTGCCCAAAATGGTCCACGGGGTCAGGAGACATTGGGCACCACAGTGACCAGCATCAAAGAGCGGCAGGAGGATGATGATGTGACATGGTTGCAATTTGCAGATCCATTCAGCATGGATGCAAGTCCTCATTGAAAATCAGTCAAGTCCTCATCTAGTCAATTGGATATAGAACCAGCCAACCAATCATCATCCTCTTTTTGTGATCATCATCCTTTGATGACCTGGACTCAATTGATGTCATTGACGCCTTGAGGTGTTGGAATGGTGGAAGGATCCAGGTCCAGGCACTGCTTGTCACCAGACTTTTGTGAACATCCGTTGCACCACTTTGTAGTTGACTTCCTTGACCAACAAAGGAATTAGTTAACAAAAGGCCCTGAAAAATAGCATGTTTTGTAAATCCTATTTACCATAAGTCAAGACAATAGCATATTTAACATATTTCCCCACCTGCCAGGTGAGGGTTGTTAGATTTTATGTCAGTTGCCTCCTCCTGCCTCCTGCCTCGTCCTCCTCCTCCTCCTCCTCCTCTCCTCCTCTCCTCCTCGTCCTCCTCGTCGTCCTCCTCGTCGTCCTCCTCGTCGTCCTCCTCGTCGTCCTCCTCGTCGTCCTCCTCGTCCAACTGCGACCCGCGATCCACAGTGTTCTCTGTCGGACCTCAACCACGACCATCCACGCCCAGTGTGCCCTGCCGGACCTCAACCACGACCATGCCCGCCCAGTGTTCCCTGCCGGACCTCAACCGCGAGTATCCGGGCCCAGTGTTCCCTGCCGGACCTGAACCACGACCATCCACGCCCAGTGTTCCCTGCCGGACCTCAACGCGAGGATCCATGCCAAGTGTTCCCTGCCGGACCTCAACCGCAAGTATCCACGCCAAGTGTTCCCTGCCGGACCTCATGTAGGAAGATATGGGACAAAGAATGTGCAGAAGAAAGTTAGAAAGAATGTCAGAAGATATGCCAGATAGAATGCCAGATAGAATGCCAGATAGAATGCCAGAAGATTTGCCAGATAGAATGCCACAAGAAAATGCCAGAAGATATGCCAGATAGAATGCCAGATAGACGCCAGAATGCCAGATAGAATGCCAGAAGATTTGCCAGAAGATATGCCAGATAGAATGCCAGAAGATATGTCAGAATATATGCCAGAAGATATGCCAGATCCAGATAGAATGCCAGAAGATATGTCAGATAGAATGCCAGAAGATAGCCAGATAGAATGCCAGAAGATTTGCCAGATATGCCAGAAGATATGCCAGATAGAATGCCAGATAGAATGCCAGAAGATATGTCAGATAGAATGCCAGAAGATATGCCAGATAGAATGCCAGAAGATTTGCCAGATAGAATGCCAGAAGATATGCCAGATAGAATGCCAGATAGAATGCAGATAGAATGCCAGAAGATTGCAGATAGAATGCCAGAAGATATGCCAGATAGAATGCCAGAAGATATGTCAGATAGAATGCCAGAAGATTTGCCAGTAAGAAAATCTATAAATGTCATGGTGGGGATCACACGAAGTAAAGTAATTTTACATGAGATGTTTTGTAAATCCCATGTTCCCCTCTGAAACTACCATCTTTCGTTGATCCAAACACGCAGGCACTGGACTTGCACCAACTTCAGCACAGCCGGAGGACCTAAGTTTGTAGCAAGAAATGGGGGAAACCATTGGACCATTGTCACCAGAGAATGGATGATGATTGGTTGATATTGGTTGGCTGTTTCTATATCCAATTGACTAAATGGGGACTTGATGAACAACACATGGTGGTTTCTTCACCCAATATATGGGATAATGGGTGTGTCGCCAGAGAATGTCCACATTGGAAGCCAAGATAGTGATGGTTTGTGTGCAGAATTTGGCTAGCGCCGGAATCCATAACGGAATCCATAACTATGTTAGACCAGAGGGTATCTCTTTGGGGCCCAAAAAACACAGAAAGGTTGGTTGTGACCTTTCGCAAAGTCCTTAAAGAGATAGCTTCTGAATTCGCTAAATCCGACAATCCTAGAAATCCTCAGCTAAAGGTCACCCAGCGCCTTGGAAACTGGTGGAGGCCGGGCTGTAGCCGCGCAGCGAAAGTAGCAACTTCCTGGGTGAAGCGTGACGGTGATACAGTATATGGTAGTGTGGTGATTCTGGGATAACCACTAATATGGAATGATTTTATGGGATATATATATATATGTATATGTGTATATATATATATATTGTAATTATGGGATAATACTTGGATTCTCAGAGGAGTCGGAGATTAGGGATGTTTTGGGGCTATGGCTAGCATACGATGCCACATGCCGCATTGTAGTTTCGTGGTTCTTGATAGTTTTAAAAGCCAATCCCAACATGACTTCGCAGGATAGTTTCAAATTATATAATGTTCCCAAAAAAAAATGATATCCCCCCCACATTTGGCTGGTTAATACCCACGATATCCCACAAGCTGAATTTCAGCGGGTCCACATCCCCTGCTGTTTCAACAGCTGTGAATACAACACTGGTAGGCGAGATGCAACAGCAGATCGCACAGATCCTCACGATGTTGCAGCAGCTCTGAAGCCTAGTGAAGATGGGTTAATCCATTGGCACTCATCATTCACAAATGCCCTCAGAAAAAGTTCCGTACCCAATTGATTTATCAGTGAATCAAGACAAAACAAGAAACAGATTTGTCAACAAAAATCATCATTGGGTTACTATAATTGTGTTACAAATCGTTTTCATGAATTTCCGGTGCAACATGAACACATAGATTTGTCAGTCTCATGGTGGCAAATCGACCGAGGCAGCAAGAGCAACAGCAGCAATTCCTGGAGAGACAGCAGCCTGGCCAAGTTTTTGTTCGTGGGCGCCTGGTCAGCCACATGTTTCTGGCTGAATAACGACCTCACTGTTGCGATTTCACAGTTTTTTTACTTATATATATATATACAATGTATTATATATATATGCATATAATATATAGAATATATATAATATATAATATAATGTGGGGATATCTGGGGAATCATGCCCAAAATGGTTCAAAATTGGTCCGAGAAAGATCTTTTGATCTCAGGATGCTCCATACTTCCAGTCCAGCTCGAAACCTCAAGGGATGCGGCTTGATTTGGGACTCGGGCTGATGCGAACGGCTGGTTGAATGCTTGGGGAAATATTTGCAAAATGATGGGAACATGATGAAACATGGCGGTTCAAAGCTTTTTGTTTCCCGTATAGAACAATTTAGGACGATAAAATTTATCGGATAAATAAGATGATTTGATCTTGGAGTCAAGTCCCTTTTGGATGTAGCAAGTCGCCTGGCCGTGCTTCGACTTGAAATTGATGCATGTGATGAACCCCGTGCGATGTCATAGAATTGGCTATTCTATAGCTGCTTATTTGCATTGTTGGTTAATTATTTGAATGTTATTTAGACATATTTACATGCCAAGTGACATCAGCATGGAAAGATAGCTACTCCGGTGATGAGGTTGATACTGCAGCCGTTTTTGACCATCGCTTTCTGATCCCGCCGCAGAACATCGCGTGAACTGATCCCACCATGGTGCGAACATCCAACCGTCTCTTGGTGTTCCTTGGCGTTGAAAAGCTTGATGTTAGGGAAATGATGGCAAAATTGTAAGGATGCCCAGAATAGCAGCATTGCTGAATTGGATATGCGTATTTGGAAAGACACTCTAGATGCTGATGATTGATGATTGATGATTGATGATTGCTGATTGGTGATTGGTGATTGGTGGTGATGATGATGATGATCATCATCATCATCACCATTGCTATCGTGTCATTTCTACCATTATCGGTGAATGAAAGATCAAGTTATTCCACTGACACTCAACTTGAGGCACCTCAAACCACCATCATGTCATCAATAAAAATGCTAATAGCAGTTCAAACACACCCCAAGCCTCTTTCTTAAAACATGCATAAACCTTGAAGTCCACTTATAGTAAAGTTTGTAGTAAATATCCCAATACATCCCACATGTTCCCCCATTTATCGTAGAAATCCAGCAAAAAACGCCATCGAGGTCCAGCATTTTGTGCGTGGGCGCCTTCGTCTTGACGCGCTTCGCGTTGGAAGCCTTCGTGGCACCACGCACAACTACCCCGTAACTCGCTTTATTTTTTTGGGAAAGTACTGTGTGTATATATATATACGTATATATACATATATATATATATATATATGGGTAAATCCCAGCGACCTCACTGCGACCTCACTGGGAATGATGGTTAGTAGGCGTGACTATCCCCAAATGACCTTATTTCAGGTTAGTGAATGATTATAATTTACCCAGATATATCATATCTATCCCCCGGTAAATTAACGGTTCGACTCTGCCATGTTTTGCGGGGAAGATGAGTTTCCACTAAACAAATGCCATTAGCTTGTGTTTAATGTTTTTAATTATAAACAGTTTATACTCAACTGAAAAACTGTTTGGAACTTGGGGTTAAGCAGGTTGTTGTGTGATATTCTGTGATGTTTTTTGTCCGGTTGGTTCATGATATTCCTTTTACAGATGTTTTGGCTTTGTTGCAGTGCAGAAGAAAAATGCTTAAATGCTCAACAGCTAGGCGATCTCTTGGTCGCTTTGATTCAGTGACAACTCCCTGCAGCAGAGTCCTACTTTGTGATATAAGTTGCCAACATAAATTGAAACTCAAAAAAACAAATACTGTAGATAGATCCACCTTTAGTACGGTCTTGTTTCCCCCTGAGGGGCTTACCATCAGAGCATTGATTGAAGAAACTGCATGACATAGCTGTGACCCCACAGTGACCCTGGGAGATCGGAGATTTCAGCAGGTCGCTGCAGTCCAAGTTGCAGTTGAAGGCCCGTGGCGGTGGCGAGTACGACATCAGTGCTTTGGATACAATTTGGATACAAAAAATGTGTAGAATTGGACATGGCAGTGTAGCAAAACTAGAATTTCTAAGCATCTGATGAGGGGGTAGGGCGTGAAGCTGATCGTGGAGATTTTGAAGCATCTGATGTTCCCGATCAAACATGGGCTGGAAAATCCCCCAGTTCAATGATTCTTCCCGTTAAATCTTCATTCATCGGTGGTTTTCCCATGATTTTCCCACTCAAAACCTCCATTTCAGTGGGGACGAAACGAGAGTTTCGTCTTCTCCAAATGGCCATCCTGGGGCTAAACATAGCGATTTATTACTGGTTGGTGGTGACTGGAACCTGGCTTTTATGACTTTCCATATATTTTCCATATATTGGGAATGGAATAATCCTCCCAACTGACGAACTCATATTTTTTAGAGGGGTAGGTATACCACCTACCAGATTATATCTATAGTATATCTAGATTATATCTACCTTCCCAAGTTATGACTAGTCGGGCTGAAAATGATATAACTTGACGAAGCATTGCCAATGGGGCCTGAAAAAAATGCTGCTATTCTCACCGATTCCCCAACATTTTGGACATGGAAAAATGAGGCGATGCTGACATCCAGAACTTCTACAACAGCCTGCTGACTGGTGCTGGTGGAGATCCTCCTAAGGTGATGGGATGCAGCTGTTTGTCTAGGGGATCCATTGGGTCTAAGGCATGTTCACTGGTCCTGGTTGGTGGTTTCACACATTTTTGGAATTGTCCATAATATATGGTTAAAACCACCAACCAGTCTAGCTTTGTTGATGATTTTCAGGTTTCGTGATGTTTTCCACTTCATTGACGTTTGCAATTTCTGCTTGAATGTGGTTTTGGAAGATTTAGTTTAACTGGGAAAGAAGTTGATTGATGATGCAGTGGGTATTTGATATCGGACAGGCAACGAGAATACATGAGTAGCTCCCAAAGAGATCCAGAGTTGGCTCCTAGAAACGTGTTATTTGCGACCCAAATGCGGTTGGATCGTATCATCCGATGTACATCCATCATGTTGCTTATCCAGCAGATGGTTCATGTGCAACAAACATAGCAAATTTGATCCAGCCCTGTTTCAATTTGTACGTATGTTGTAGGGATTTCTTGGTTCCTGGCAACAAAAAATGTCTCGGTGGTTCGTATTCCCATCATTAACCACCATTAACCATCATTAACCACTGTTAACCACTATTAACTAACCATTATTAACCGACCTTTCTGATGGACCACCAGGGCACCGTGTTGAGCGAGCTGGTCGTGAAGTTCTTCCATGGTGACTTCACTCCTCAGGGCTTCAAGCGATACAGCGGACTCTGGAAGGGACCCCCTCCCGGCAACATCGGCAAGAAGGACCTGGCTGTTGGGCGAAAGGGAATCTCCAACAACAACGGTGCAAAGATGCTGCGAAAATGTCCCAAGTCTGAAATCCAACACGATTTTCTTCATGTCTAAGATTCCAATCCTCCAATCTCATCCAAGTGACATGGAATTTGGCCGCATTTCAGGACATTGCCGTGGGCGTGGCCAAGCTGAAGGAGCAGATGGCCAATCCCATGCCACTTGGAACCGAGGGACCTGTTCCACGTTGCGGAATAACCTCGGGATGTAGCCAGCAAAACTTGTGCGTACAGATATAACATGATATAACTGACACGACCAAAAAGACTGCTTGGTAGTATTATTCAATTGTTCAATGTGACGCAATGTTATTCATATTTGTGTACCTTTCAAGCATGATCCCCAATGAAGAGCATATGGAACCACTAATCAGGACTCAAAAAAAAAGCTAATGACTGACATTCTCAGAGGCCAAAACGGGGCCAAGTTGGAACATGCCAGACACCCACACTGAAAATCAATCGGATGTTTCAATGATTAGTGTAATATAATTAAGTCAATTTTAGAAACCAGAAAAAGTCAGAAGCCAAACAGCCAGTGACTGGTTTAAGAGAACGTCTTAACCGGAAACCATAGATTCCCTGGGGGCTTTCCTGTAAATGTTCCCTTAGACCAATCCATTGAATCCAAAATATGAACGATGAACCCGGTGACAGCTTCGAGGTTCGTGACCAAGGGCGGTGTCGGCTATGGTGTGGACGAGACCCAGAAGGACCGAGCGACGGCTGACTGGGAAATTCCAAATGTTTCATTGGAAAATGGTTGATCCAAAAATTGGATATTCAAGAAAAAAAACATTTGAAATGGATTCAAATGGATTAAACAATGGATATTCATGGATATTCCTAAGCAACCAACTGCTTTAGTAGCTTTCCACTGCATTTTTGGTTATATAGTTACCACCAACCAGGCATTGTTGACTCTCAATCTCCCCAGTGTGTGGTTGCTAGAAGCCACCATCTTTGCTTGACTAAAAACGTTTCTTTGTTCATTCATTCTTGGGTAGGAAAAAAATTGAAGAATCACCCAGTTTTTTTGAGCAGGTTTCCTCCAAAAAGATGTTTTTCAAAAGTCATCAAGAGATTTTTAAAATTTCCAACGATATCATCCACCAAGTGTCCAGCAGATTTCAACCTTTCAACCAGGTGGAGGATGATGGCAAGGGCTGGGTGTGGCTGGCTGCCGAGATGAGCCCCGGAGGCAAAGTCTGGAGAGTTGGGATGAATCAAAAGATATGTGTGAAACGCTTATATAGATAATCTATCATACATATACATATATAATTATGTATATATATATATATAGCAGTAAGATATTATATATATATATATCAGATGATATTATAAATATGTATATATAAATCAGATGAAATGATGAAGTGATGAAATCAGGATGCCTGTTATGAGATATTTATTGGTTTGCAGCGCCATGTCATGGGAGTTTCAGCCAGGCCTGGCCGTGGAGCTCTTCAAATCGGTGCCCTACGGCAAGCGTGCCATCCTGGTGGCCAAGCAGAGCAACGTGGACGAACTCTTTCAGAAGGCGCCAGGGTGGATGGCTGGTGGGTTTCTGGTGGGTTTCCTTTAAAAAAACAGGAAAATTGGGGTTTAACCATGAAAAATGATGACAAATTGTGATTTATTGGGATTTATTGAGATATTTCGGGATTTGAATGGATTGCTGGGAAAATGTGAAACCGGAAACCAATGGAAATCCCTATATTTCATGGGGAAAACCATGGTTTCCGGTGAAGATGTTCCCTTCAACCATTCCATTGATGGTTAAGATTGTCCCTACCGGGTTCGGGCGGAACATTTCAGGTGAATTATGATGAATTTTCTACAGATGGTTGATTGGTTGGATTTTGAGACCAATGTGGTTGAGAATGGTGTTGGATTGTTGGATTGACCATTGAAAGCATGTTCAGTTGGATGTTGATCCATGGTGGGTGGGAAAAATACCTGTATTAGATGAGGATTTTTCATATTGATTTTAGAAAGTGGGCTTTGAAGTTGATGGGGTTTGGGGATGGGTGTTGGGTTGAAATGATGGGATCTGGTTGGATGGCGTGCATAAAGCTGGGACCAACTGTGACAGCAGGGGATCTGGGCCCTATTCCACACATGTGACTGTGACGTATTACCTCATATCAGTTGCATCAAGTTATATCAAGCTATATCAGTGATCAAATCATACATGACCACCATTTTATTATCAGATATGAGTTGTAGATTTAAAAACTATGCAAAGCTTCATGGTGTAGCATCCATGTTGCGACATACATAGCTGTGATGTGTACCACAGCCCTTTAGAGCTCAAAACAAACTGCGCCGCTCCGTCCCATGGTAGCGGAGCTACATAAGACCCAGACGGCCTGAGCAGTAAAGCCCAAGAGGTGTGCCAGAGCCAAGAGGAGCCAGGGCGAGAGGAGAAGAAAAGGAAAAGAGAAAAAAGGTGAAAGAAGGAAGAAGGATGGCAACCCACAATAGCCCATCCAGCAAAGAACTGTTTGGAAGCCCAGGACATGGAGCTGCCGCTGCAGGACAAGGAAGTCCAGCAAGCAGGAGCTGGAGGCGCTGCACCAACGGGAACAGTTGGAGCCACAACCCAATGGGGACATAGCTTGATAGACACAAGAGCCTATGGAAGACTGAGAACCTTCTCAGGGAAAGAAGAAGACTGGGCAACATGGTCATTTGTGGCAAGGAGCTACTTAGACCTACTCAGCGTTGGCTTTAGAGAGCTGCTTGTGAGCGCAGAAGCAACTGGTCAAGCAACAGAAATCAGACAGGCCGACATGTCTGATATGGCCAGGACCCACTCCTGGACACTCTTCAACGTGCTGACCCAAAGCGCCGAAGGAAGAGCACTCTCAGTGATCATGAACTCCGAGGCATCCAATGGACTTCAAGCGTGGAGGATGCTGATAGACGCCTACGAGCCGAGAGTCGGAGGCAGATACACAGCGATGCTTATGGGAATCATAGGACCACAATGGGGTCATGTGAAGGAAGCAAATTTCCTGGAAAGCCTGGATACATGGGAAATCCAGATACGACGCTATGAGGACCAAAGCAAACAGAAGGTGACAGACGCAGCCAAATGCGCTGTGGTGATGAAGAACGCCCCAAGTGGAATCAGAACTGCTCTGAGAACAAGCAGTAGCAGAATTGGCAGCGACTACGAGCTGTTGAAAAAGGCCATCAAGGACTACATGCAGACTGGAGTTGATTTGATGGAAAAGGTCTTATAGCCGAAGCTGCAAAGAAAAGCGATCCTAGCGGTCCAATGCCAATGGGTGTTGGAGCCGTAAAAGGAAGGGTGGAAAGAAAGGAAAAGAAGACAAAGGAAAAGGAAAGAGGGGCAAATATGGAAAGTCCAAGGACGGCAAGAACTCAAAAGGAAATCCAGGAAAGAGCTACAACAGCTACAGCACTGGAAGCAGAAAATTCCAGGGAAGTTGTTCCTACTGTGGCAAATGGGGGTACAAGAAATCAGAATGCCGCAGCAGAGAGCGTGACAAGAAAGGAAAAGGAGGAAGCGCCAATGCGGTGGACAAAGAAGAAGACAAGAGCACCAATGCAGTGCAGTACGACAGCCTGGACAACAAAGAAGACTGGGATCCAGAAGAAGTCTGGCAATCCAGAAGGGAAACAGGCAAATGGCCGAGGATTCAGTATCAAAATCCAGATCATGAGTCTGGTGGAGCATCATCAAGCTCAAGACCCGCTGAGGTCGTATCAGTGTCCTGGAGAGGATTGCCCAAAGCAGAAACTTCGGGAAAGAAGTGGGTAGCAAAGAAAAGATGGGCAGAGATCCAGGAGGAAGAAGAAGCTGAGGCGAAGGATGAGGCGAAAGAGGGAGAGATTGAAGAAGAAGCCGACTATGGCGGTGATGATGATGATGATGATGATGAAGACAAAGAGAGCTGGGTGAGTGCAATCACCAGGGAAGTAAGCTCAGTGGATGCAGTCAGGTTCAGATGAACATGTGTGCAAGCAAGACTTTGGAGGATACGGTGAAGAACAGAAGTGGGCGAAAGGAAAATGATCCTGACACTAGCTGGTCGAGAAGGCCCAGCGGAAGTGGAAACCATTTTCCAGGTCAGCAAGAATGCGCAGAAAAACATACTCTCAAGTGGAAAGATGTTCAAAAATGGGTTCAAGGCAATCATTGACCCAGGTGGAGCCTCATACCTGACGCGCTACAGTGTAGAAGAGAGTATCCCGCTCTACATGCATGGCAATAGCTTCTACCTCAGGCTACTGGCAGTCAAGACGGTACCAATGACAACAAAGGTGCCAAAAGCAATTGTAGCGCCAGTGACAGGAATTGGAGAAGCTGAAGACTGGGAACACCCTGAAGGGAAGAGTGAGGATGAGACTGAGGAAGTCCCAGAAGCCGGAATAACAGACAGGCAGATCGAGAGCAAAATGAGCTTGACACCACAATCCAGAATCGTGGATATGAGAAACGGGCTGAAGCAACTTGGCTATGTGATTCATGGCAGCAAGGAAGAAGTCTGGAAAAGACTGAAAAGAGCCGAAAAGGAATAGTTTAGACGTCTGGAAAAGGAGAGATTGAAGAATGCAGAAATCCAGATGAGGAATGAAGATCTTGTGCAGAGTGGTGCGCAAGTGAAAGCAGATTGCCAATTTAGCATACGAGAACTGACAAAAGCGGTGAAGGAGCCTACCGTGGGAGACATGCAAGCATTGGCCAGGCTGACGCGCTACCTGATCCAAACAAAGAGCCACGGGATCAGGTTCGAGCCGGATGAGAATTCAGAATTCCTGGATTGTTTCTCCGACACAGATTGGGGAAATTGCGGAAGGACGAGAAAGAGTACAGCATGTGGAGTATTCAAAGTTGGAAAGAATGTGTTGGCCAGCTACTGCCGAGGCCTGGCAATGATTTGCCTGAGCAGTGGTGAGGCGGAATTCAATGGAAGAGTGTGCCAGCAGTGAGGGACTTTTCTACCACCAGCTGCTGAGGTTCCTTGGTGTGAACACCAAGATGAGAGTTCATTTGGACTCGGGCGCCGCCAGAGGCGTGTTCCAGCGTCAAGGAGCTGGACGAATCAGGCACTTGGAAATCAAAAGCCTGTGGGTGCAAACTGCGTTACGCGAAAGACAGTTCACCCTGCATGCAGTCGGCACACATGACAATGTAGCCGATGTTGGAACAAAAGCCTTAGCAGTCCAGAAGCTGAAGAAGTTCAGGGATGAGTTAGGCGTAATCTCAGAAGAGGAATTCCGTGGAACGGATGAGTTGAAGACCCATGCCAAGCAAGGCGTTGTTGGCGGAGTACAGCTACAGAACGTGCTGAAAGTTCTGATTGCGCTGGGAATGATGCAGCCAACCAAGGCTGATGGAGAAATGCAGTTGTGGAGCCCTGAAGACAAAAGGTCAGGGTGGATCTTCGACGTTGTGTTCGCAATCAACGTGATGCAGATCATCGCAATGATGTTGTGGCTGACGTGGAAAGGCATCAGTGTAGCAAGGAAATGGATCAAAAGCCAGAGTCGTGAAGCTGAGGATGACAGATCCCAGTGGACCAGGGTGCAAGGCCGAAGGCCAGAGAATCAAGACCTCCGGAGAAGTGGGGCAAGGATGTCAGCTGCGAGTTCCAGCAGTGAGACGACAACAACAGCAAGACCTCAAGGAGACGACAGAACTCCCAGTCAAAGGAGTGAGAAAAGCCAATACGCGTATGAGAAAAGAGCAGGGAAAGAAATCTGCTACGACAAATGCTACCCGCTCGAAGGGAGCAATCCACCAAAGTTCTACAAATCCGGAGCTGGAGAGTGTGTGCACATGAGCTCCCAGTGTTACGGATTGAGGAACAGAAAATCCCCAGTGCAACTGCTGAGGGTGTGCGCTTACTGCCATGATGAGCAGGTGCATAGCGCGATGAGCAGCACGATGAGAGAAGGTCGAGAAGCTCACATGAGAGCCGGGCGTAGCACAGATCTGGCAGGTGAAAATGCCAGTGGTAGCGAAGTGGTTACAAGCTGAAGGGCTTGAATGTACAGGCAGGCGAAAAGCCCTGCTAGCTTTTCCCCTGAGGGGGGTGCAAAGCTTCATGGTGTAGCATCCATGTTGCGACATACATAGCTGTGATGTGTACCACATCCCTTTAGAGCTCAAAACAAACTGCGCCGCTCCGTCGCAAACTACATATTATATATATATATATTATACATATTATATATATATTTTACATATTATGTATATATTTTACATATTATGTGTATATATATATATTATACGTATTATGTGTATATATATTTTACATATTATATATATATTTAACATATTATATATATATATATATATCCTTTCCACCACCAGAGTCTATGAGTCTCCCAGCTTCCCTGATCGCAGGTGAACTGGGACACAGCCCTTGCAAACATTGAGGTCACCTTCGGAGGGCCTCAGGCACCGGCGATGGCGTTGCTATTTGATGATGGGATTTCACCATGGAAAACCCATCGGAAAACCATGGTGAAATCCCATTGGGAATCCCACCAAATCACACTATCCCATGATTTTTCTGGAAAACTTCTAAATGAAAAAAATGCATTTCTTTGCAATGTGAAGTAAAAAGATGTTCTAAGATTCAAAAACCATAAGGATCTCAACCCCCCCTATCTCTGGATACGGAAATGGGAAAATCCCTAAATGACTTTAGGGAATACTGAAAATGAAGAATTTGGAACTAAAGATTTAAAAGTCGAGATTTGGGGTTGAACATGGACAGGGACAGTTGTGGTAAAACCCCTAAATCCCAACTGTTGGTTTATCATGGCGTTCACTCTTAAAAAGGTTTAAAAGGCATTTTTACGAATATCCGCCGTTTTCAAATAAACCCATGTTTGTTGGAGAGGTGTGTATTTGGATGAGGTGGTGTGCATGTTTAGTGAAATCGTCAAATAGTCCAAATGTTTCAGTTTCATGATCCATGTTATGATCCAAAGAATCTTTTCGGTACCCCCCGCATCAGTTTATGATCCAGTCATACATACATACTTTGGGTTGGTTTACGAAACAATGTCAGTTGAAACAGCATGTTTGTCGTTTAAATCACCAATTGTTGCTTGGTGTTCTCCGATTTTTGTTGGTGACACCAGCATTTTTGCCGATGATTTTCACCCCTGGCAGATCAAGCAGCGCTGAGTGGACTCACGGTGAGACGTGGAGTCGTTGAGAAGTCTCAAGTTGGCATCAAGAAGTTTGGTATGGATCAAGAATGAACTTCTGGTTGAAAATGGTTGACAAATGGTTGAAAACTTGAGACTTCCGGAATTTTCATCTTTTGAAGTATAAAACCGATCTCTTTCCATTTGAAGTAGCAATCGCCTGGAGAAAAGGAACTGCTCGTATTGATAGATTGGGATAGGTTGAGCAGGATTCGTTCTGGTGTGAAGATGGTCAAGACCAAAGGGTGATTAGTGTTCATCATTCAAAGGGAAAACATGGGCCTTTAACCACAGGGTTCCCTCTAACGATGTTGGATACTGTAAATAGCAACTGCACAAGGAGGTTTGTGCCGTCATTGGTTTTTGAACTAAAGAATCTGAGGAATCTCTTCAAGTTTCCCAAGCTAGAATGTCCATCAATGTCATTCAATATCAATTATGAACATGAATTGAAATTGTTGACAATCAACATCATTGTCAATTAATGACAATTTATAATGATAATCAATTAATTTATGGTAATCTTAAAATATCTTAAAATCATCAACATCATCAATGACGATAGTTCATCAATCATAAGCCACTCCGACAGTCACCATGGCTGGCCTTCGGAAAGCGAGGTCTCTGGCGGGCTGCAGGCAGAAATCGTGGAGAGATGCGAATGGCTTATGATATTCTAAGGAAAGGTGAGAAAACTTTGGGTGAATTAGCGAACAAGTAAAGATTGTGCAATTATGTGTAATTCCCAGCAGTGATTTTCCAGCCCTCCAAAAGCTCTTGACTTGTTGGAATTTGCGGAGAAGCTTACCAACTGCTTGGCAAAGATCTTTTTGGAATACCAAAAAATACTGATGTCATGACTTTCCATGTTCATCCTGCAAATCAGAATCCTTCCCCCAAAGGTCAGCATCCTCTCTTATTTAGCGAATTGCATCTATTCACCTGGCTATGGGCCAGTGCCGTGGTAGCCTTCTGTTCATATCCTGGATGTTCATCCCCCAAATATATCGGGGATTTCACAGGTAAAACACCATGGCTTTATCTTACCTTTTGGCCCCATTTCTCTCGTAGGCGTCTACCTCAAGTCCAGGCTTTAGCAACATGGCTGCAGTGGTGAGTTTTCTGGGGAGCACCATGCTAAACTCCATCAGTTGGGAGAAGGAACGCAGGTGTTGTAGAAATGTATCCTTTGTGTATCTTGAAATCTATATATAAATTATATATAATTATTTATATATATATAGAATTATACAGACATGGTGATATGGTTGATATGTCTGGTTGCTTTGAGCACCCATCACCTCCCATTGTGCCACCTCTGAGGCAGCCCGAAGGCTGACTTGGCAGGTGCCGTTGCGGGCCTCATTAGCGGCCAGGGCCACCCACCAGTTGTGGGTCTGTTTGAAAATGGGATATCCCCCCAATAATAGTGATTTAAAAGGGAATATGATGATTAATCAGTGGGTTAGGGATATCCTATTTTCAGACAAACCCATATATCTCAATCAACACTGTTGATGCGATGTTTCTGTGTCAAATTTCAGTCAGCTGGAAATGCGTTTGTTTCGCAATGTTCATAGCTGATGTTTGCTTTAAAGTTGATGGTCTATAGCAGCTTTCCCTACCTCAGTCCTTGGGGGAATACGCATATCCTCGTAGCTTGGCAGGTTAGATTTCTATTCATGCGATTTGGATCCATGTTTGTTTGAAATCAATGGCTTTCACAGGGAAAACTATGAAAAACCAAACGCATTTTTTCACTGTGAAATGATTGATTCAAACAAAGCCATTGAAAATCAATGGCTTTTCCATGCTTTTCCTATAAACATGTTTGATTCACTGCATTTTTTCCCCATGAAAATCCTCAGGTTTCCTGTAGCCAGGTTGGGAGTTGGACTTGGAGAACTTCACCCGCCATGCACAGCGCTTCGTTGCTGGGCGCGTGTGTGTCATGGTGGTGGGATATGGCTATGGTATGAGGAGATCATAGGTTTTTAGCGCTACAGAATATTGTATCATGTACATATCATGGGAATTCATGGGATATGTTTTTTGCATATCCAACATCATGATAAACTGTAATATTAGGGATATTATGGTGATACATGGTGATACAATGGGAAAATTATTGGAAATTCATGGAGGATTCACCCATATAAAACCAAGATTTTTTATGGGGATATGATTATATTTTATGCGATACATAAACATCCTGGCATAAACATGGTTTGGGGATGTAGTAATAACGGCATACATAGACAACGTTATGACTATGACAATTATATGTTTCTTTGAACATGTGGTATACCTTGAGCCAGTACCATTTTAGTATATTTTAGTGCAGGGAACATGATAGTCCACCACTGGATCTTAGGATTTACGGGTAAGCTATTTTCAGTCAAACCCAGATGGCTACCATTGAGAAGCTTCTGGAGAGTGCGATAGTGGTATGAAAATGGGACATATCATTGGCCAACTAACATAGCTATGGAAAATCACCATTTTTAATGGGAAAATCCACTATAAATGGCAATTTTCAATAGCTATGTTAGTCATTACCAGAGGGTATCATTGGCCAACTAACATATCCGGAGATGTGGTGGAAACATTGCATTGAAGCATCTACATGAAGTTATGAATTCGTTGAGAGCATTGTTCCATGGGTCATAGCACCACAAACCAAAAGACAGATGTCGCCTTAGGTTTGCGACCAGATGGAAACCGACATGTAAAGTTTCAGACGCTATGTATTGTGCTGCATGTTGTCATCAATGCATTGACATGAAGGTTAAACAAAAATGTCTGTGTGATCAGATGTTCCCTTTGGGTTCTGCAGAGCCCTGAACACTGACGCTAGTTCTTATCCCCGTGTTTGTGTCCCATTTAATTTTGGATTAGGTGGTGTAGCATCTTGCGGCACTTTTTGCCATTTTGTGTATATAATTGTATATATGTCTTTTTGAGGGAATTTATGGTGAATTGCTCATCCAGTTTTGCACTATGTCGTTTGTCTTTAATGATTTCGTTTGTTCCCCATTGCTGCAGAGTAAGGCTGAACTGGACACCAATCAGGCGGGCATGAACTGATCGGTGTTCATGGCAAGCCCCCCAATTCCAATCAAAATGAGGAAACTGAGGAAACCCACCAAATCACCAATCAAAGTTTTTTTTTGAAAACCTGGGAATCACGAAAAATCACATCAAAGCATTCTGAAATTTTTCTATGTTTTTCTTAGATACTTAACATCCTTAACATGTCGAGTAACATGGAAACATCTCATGGCTCAGCCGTGCCGCAGGATGGCTATCTGGAAGGTGCAGAGGCCAAGAGCCATTTCGGACTCTCCAGGCCGGATGACTGTTCTCGAACCGCAAAAGTTAATGGGGACCAAAATAGGGCCAAATGTTAATGAAAAGGTGATGATCTAATATGATCTATTATGATTTAGTATGATCTAATTGTGAAAGTTGATCGTTGCGAGGCACAGAACGAGCCCTTGAGCTCTCATACTGCTGTTTGCCATTGCTGATGTCACATGTTTTCCAACTCTGAAAGACCTTTGTTCAAAAGAAAGTGAGTGAAGCCTTATCAGAACCAGTGAAAAAATATATGCAGAGACTCACCCTTTGATAAAAACTAACAACATATATGTTTTCTGGTCAACAGAGGATGAAACACATGGAAATTCATGGAAATTCATGAAGTTCTTCAATCCTTAACGGTCTGCCAGGTTGTCACCTGTCCGCTTAGCCGAAATTTGGGCTTTGGCGGATGAAGGCTGCAAAGGAACTGGTGGAGATTTAGACCAATAAACAAGGGATGAACCGGGAAAAATACCAATAAACATGGTGGTTTTAATTAATGGTATAATCCAACTATTTCTAGTCCAAAAATGGTTGAATTCCAATTAATAATTAATTCATGGTACAAAAATGGCGGTATAATCGGTATATCAATGTATATCACCAATGGTCCTTGTGGTCAGCGGTGATAAACCTATATTCAATGGGGCTGAAACGAGCAACCAGAACGGTTTGGATCTACTAGATTTTCATCTGTGTCTTTGTCATATCTGTTTCACCCACATCAGCGGGCTTTTAGAATTTGCTTCTGAACACGATTTGCCACTCTCGGTTTTGGAGTCATGTTCTTGAAAGGCCTTCTCGGTCACTCTTCACATCTGGATGCTTCTCTTGGAAACGCCACAAACCAAGCTTCCGAATCTTAAGAATGACATAATGTGGTGGTCAAACTATCAAAATTGTAGAACTCGGCTCCCCATTTTGTGCAACTCTCCATTTGAGACCGGATTTTTTCAGGCCGCGATGGAAGGCTGTCGTTACCCGAGCGACTTGGTGATGAGATATAGTGATATACTGATATACTGCTTATTGGATCAAATTCAGATGTCTCAAATCTTGGAACCTCATTACATCACTATAAATGATCATCATTTTCCAAATTGTGCCTGTTAAGATTTAGATAGCCATTTTATGATGTTTATGCTGGATAATGGACATAGCTGGGAAGAGAGGAAATAAACATGGGATGAAATTCATAGTATTGGTCATATACTTCATATTATTTCATGGTATCCCCTCAAATTGTTGGCTTTATATGGTTTTACAGAGGCAAATTCACCATTTAATCATATTCAATCGAAAAATTGAGCATGAATGGTGGATTATAATCAAATTTATATAATCATCAGGTTTATTTAATCCAGATTTGATGGTATGTAATCATATTTAATCCACAGGAAACAGCTGAGGTTTGTTTGCGCAGCTGAGCTAATGGAGCGCGCCAGCAAAGGCAAGTGCAACACTGATGAAACTAACCTGAAAATCGAAGTCTATTAATGTGATTTTAATGTGATTAAATGTGAAGATTACTTGGTTTCATCCAACTTCAATGTGATTTTAATGTGGTTTTAATCACATTAAACCCGAAGTCTATTTACGTAGATCCCATCAAATCACCAACACTTCGGACTTAGTATTTGGAATTGTCCATCCAAAATTGAATCACCATCTAAAATCATCTAAAATCATCTAAAATCATCTAAATAGTGATTCTTATTCGACTTCTCCGTCTTTTTGGATCTTTTTGGAGGATCCGTCGGTGCGCTGCAGGCTACGAGATGCCTGCGAAGCTGCCGTCTGGAGTCCCAGCGAAAAGAGTTTTGCTCGCAGGGACGCCTTGTTTCGGAGACTCGCGGGTTCAGTCATAACCATAATAATCCAAAAATAATCACAAATAATAATAATTAATAATAATAATAATAACAATAATAATAATAATAATCATCATCATCATCATCATCCTCGTCATCATCCTTTTTTATTTATCATGTTAATCATAATAATTTAATAATCATCCATTTCAGGTAGAAACCACTGAGAGAAGTACACTGAGGCCGCCCTTGTGGGACAGCGCTCTGAGGTGCCTGCCAGAGATATCAACTTCCGAGAGGGGCCAAAGATCAACATGGCACAACTGTTGTTGAAATATGATGACATTGAATGACATGATGACATTGGGTTGGTGGGAAAATCTACAAGAACCCATAGATTTTCCCATTTTCCCATGAAAAAAAAGGGGGGTTCCTGTAAATTGTCGACCTTTTTCACCAATCCATTGTTCATCAAGTCATGCCATGGTGATTGCTCGGCAGCCTCGCCATATCGGCAGCCAGGCATGCCGCAGATTTCAGCCTTCCAAAGAAAGAGTCGTGGACCATCTCTCCTGAGGAATGGCAAAGTGTGCCTGGCACTGTTGATTTTTACATCAACGGGTGAAACGGTCGGTGATTTTAATGGGAAATTTATGTATTTGGAATCTTGAGAATTTAGTTTTGTTGTACCTGTTGTTTATTGGATTCTGATGTAAAGCATGTAATTGATGTTATTCAATTGATTATCCCCAGTACATACCCAGTACCTTTTGTATTTGCCCATCACCTGTTATTTAAAAGATTTTGGTTTTCATTATCAGCAGTTATTTGATTTATTTATCTACCAGGTAGAATCTACCAGTCATTTAGAGGTTTCCTAAAACAGGGGTACTCCAAGCTCGCTGGATGTTTTATTTCATGGAAACCTCCATTGAATTTGATCATCATCAGTTATCTCCGGAAAAAAGATGCATAATTACATATACAATTACATATGCCCTCTGGTAATTTAACATAGCCATAGAAAATGGCCATAGAAATTGTTGATTTACCGTTCTTAAAAATGGTGATTTTCAATGGCGAACTGTTAGTCAGAACCAGAGGGTAATTGGCTCATAAACCCATATAAATCCAGGATGAAATGGAACTCTCCAGTGGTTCCATCAGTTGTCTCCGACAAGCAGGTTGTCGCAGCATCTTCGAGGCCAAGTGTAACGACGCCAACTTCCTGGAACCCAACGAGGCCCTGGTGAAGTGCGTTGGAGGGGACAGGTGCTGTTTGGAGCCACCAAAAAAATTGGTAAAAATGGGAGTTAACCATCATTTTAATGGGAGTTAATAGGGATTCAATGGGATTTAATAGGGATTCAATGGGATTTAATGGGGTTTCAATGGGATTTAATGGGGATATCATGCGGAATAGCTTCCAATAATCAAACATAAGGGAAATCCCCGAACTAAATGGAGATTTAAAATCATTCAAATGGGAAAACCCGCCATAAATGGTGGATCTTCCAGCAAGCCAGATTCTGAGCCATGCAGATGGATCAATACCCTGGTGACATTCACAAACTTCTGTATCATCATCACCAAAGGGCCGACCTTCGGGTTTAGCATCAAAAGTCGAAAGGTATCGATATGGGTGGATAGTTTCCAGAAGAAATTAGGATTCTGTCCTCCCAACATGAAAACCGTTGGGATTGCCATTTTTTTTGGAGCAGGAACCTGAGTGGATGATTGGGATAGCCTGCCGCCCAAGCTGGGAAAAGCATCATTCATTGGATTGGTTTTCACAGGGAAAATGACAGGAAACCCCGAGAATTTCAATGGGAAAAGCACACAGTGGCACCGGTTTTCAGATTTTCCCTTTCCAATCCACTAAAAAAATGTGGCGTATCTTCTGCAGGCCAGAGAGATCTTGGACAGGCTGGATTGAGAGACCTCCAACTGGTTGATTTCGGTTGCTGCGGGAAAAATTGGAAGGTCAAGTTGTTTTTTAATGGTATTATTGGGAAAAAAGACTTGATATGATTTAATCGGGACACAATCTGTTCTACCGTCCCGCAATCAAACGTGGCAATCGAAAATCCCTGAACTAAATGGAGGTGTGAATAGGAAAATCATCGAACTAAATGGAGGTGTGAATAGGAAAATCATCGAACTAAATGGATGATTTTCCAGCAAACCATGTTTGATGACACCGGAGGGTTATGGATTATTAATTATTGTTAGTTCAACCATAGATTGATCTGATATTGGGACCACCATGGACTACCTGCATTGGGGAGATACCTCTAATCATCCTCAAAGGCAGGGCAAATGTGCAGGTCAGAGTTACCTCACGCAGAGCTGTCGCAGATTTGGAACCTCTCCGATGCTTGACTCACCGCGTTGGATGTTGTAGAGTGAGATGCATCACAACTGACCACTATGAATCATACTCACATTATACAGTACTTCTAATTATCTTCTAATTACAATGTAAGATAATGTAAGTAATTGCTGAGATTTATCCTTATGTGTAGCCTGTATATATACTGTATATATAGTTACACCATAAAAGAATCCGAAATCTATAGTGTAATTATAGCTATCTATCTATCTATCTATCTATTCTATTCTATTCTAGTCTGATCTAGTCTATTTTAATCTATTCTAATCTATTCTTTTCTAATCTATTCTATTCTAATCTATTCTATTCGAATCTATTCTATTCTAATCTATTCTATTCGAATCTATTCTAATCTATTCTATTCTAATATATTCCAATCTATTCTAGCCTATTCTAATCTATTCTATCCTATCCTATCCTTTCTTATCCTATCCTATCCTATCCTATCTTATCTATCTATCTATCTATCGATCAATCAGGATATAGATAAAGTTTCCAGGAAATACGCAATATACATTACATAATATATGCATTATATATAGTATTTAATTGTATACATCATATACATTACATTATAATATATAATAATATATATACATATATATATATATACATTATTCAGGATCTACCCATTACAATATATATATATATATACATATTTATTTAGGATGCTACTTCGATGATGTTTCCAAGGACTTGGACGGTGATGGCCAACTTCGCTTCGGCGAGTTCCTCTGCGCCATGCACCTGGCGGAAAGGCGGCGGCTGTGTTTCGGCCTTGGCAAAGCGGAGCGGTTTGTCAATGGGAAAAACAATGGAAAACTGAGAGTGGGATACCTGTATGAATGGAAAACTGACATTATTGTATCATTTTGAATGGAAACACCATCTTTACTGATGATTTAATGATAAAGTGATGGTTGATGGTGTTTCAAAATCCATTCAAGGAAACTAAACTGATCGGATCTGATCAATACATATACTATATATGTATATATATATATTACCTATCAAAAACATATATGGGTCAGTTACTATCAGATGTTTCCTATCATCTCCAATTTGAATCCAATGAAAAAAACTGGAGGTGTCAACCAACATCACCCAAAAAACTATGGAAAATCACCATCTTGAATCACCATTTTGAATTACCAAAATCACATTACCCAAAAAGACGATGGAAACTCATGTTTTCGTGTTTTGATAGGGAAAATCATAGGAATTGATCCATATATTGCGACATTTGCCATGGCCCCATGGCCCACATGGCCCACATGACCGACACGTCAGGCGCCGAAAAGGGGGCGAACTTCCCAGCCGTTTGCCCGATGCGTTGCTCCAAGTGGCCACAGTGGGGCTGGCCCAATGGGGGCTCAGTGGGGGGACATCTGAAATCTTGGATGGGTACTTTAGATTTTTTTAGTACTTGAATCTTTTGCAGTACATGTGGATAATTGTTTAAACCAGCTAAGAATTCATTTGCAGGGTATCTAAACCATTGAATTTATGATTAAATGATGACATGGGTTTAAGAATTCATGTGCTAAGAATTTAACTTATTAACTTAGATGATGCAACCCATTTTGGCAGTACTAAGAATTCATATCATGGGGAGCATGATGGTTTTAAAGCTTAAACCACTTATTTTTGTTGCTGGCCCTGGAGCTACAGGTGGTGGGGGTTGGGACCATTTTTGGTTTGCGGCCAGGAAGACTTGCCCAACAAGCTTGAAATGCCAGGCGAGGCCAGGGGAAAGGCCGACTTCAGGGGATCATGCCCGAATCTCTGGCATTGAGGGTGGTCAAGTTGGAGTCGTCGCGCGTTTTTTTTGGAACAAGGCAACAAAAATCATATTAGTTAACTATACTTACTTTGGTGATATTTATAGTTAACTTAAGTATGATGATTCAGATTTCTCATGAATTCTCACGCAATAGCCCCTAGACGTCGACATATTGATAAATGGCGGATGATAGGGCCAGATCCATGGCAAGTTCCCATCACACTGCGTCAGTCCCGCCACCTGACTTCGAGCCACCGGTGACTGAGAGCCACTTGGCGCGGCTGGGATTGGCTATGGATAGATTAACTAGCCATGGATATCTATTTACCCCCTGGATATCATAAATATGGAACATCGCAATTTATTGTAGGTAAATCATCTCTTTCTATGGGCCATTTTCAACAGCTATGTAACAAACTACCAGAGGCTATATCATGTGGATGATATACATATCATTTCTCATGATCCCGAGGGTCCACAGTTCACAACATTGGCAAAATGGGAATATGACCAAAATATACTGCAATAAAACTGGGAATTCAAGCAACAACCGATGTAACCAGCAGGCATGAGCTGTTTGACCATACCAGAAACAAACAGCTTTCAGGTTGTCAGAACCTGGTGGTTGACGACTCAAATCCCCATAAACTCGTTGTTAGTTGTGATTGCAACACCAAGGTCCTTGATGCCATGTTAGATTCAATGTATGTCTGTAACAGTAGTCCAAAATCATGGCCAATGCCTATATTTCTGTTGATATCTCCATCATTTCATCCATATTTCACCCATATGTTCGAGATTATTCTAGTAGATCCCCTTTTTTTCATAGCCGAAATGTCCTAATATTTTGCCCCGAGGCTTCAACCCCGCGGCTGCAGAGAGCTCCTGGGATCCCACCGTGAGTGAATTGGAGCAGTACAAAAACATCTTCGAAGGCGCCCAGGGATGGGTTTGATGCTAGTGATTTTGGGATTTGATGCCGGGCTAAAAGTGTATTATATATAACTGATAAATGGTGGTTGATGATTAGTTAGGTTTTGTAATCCATGGCGGTGAATGTGGGTAAATGTACTGTTTTCAATGTTTAGATTACTGTTTTGTGGAGACTTTGAACATCACAAAACATGAGTTGTATCTGTGACGTGAAAAATCTCCAACTATTAGTTGGGTGATGTGAAAAATCACGGACATATCAAACCAAGTCCGACGATTGAGACATTTGTGAAGTCGTACTTTGTTTTGGTTTGATGCAATCTGTATTTTTTGGATCCCTCGTTGGTTCAAAGCATCAAAATGATTCAGAATGGTTTAGCGGGATGGAAACCGAGCCGTTGATCATGTTATTGGATGCAATGTCCAATGATTTTCACAAGCAAAAACGGAAGTTTTCACTGCAAGAAACGATAAGAGATTGTTCAAGATTGGAAAAAGTACATGTTTGGAACTCTCCAATCTTTGAGATCCCAAGAATAGAGATTTATCGAGATTGCACAGTTTTGGTATGGCTTAGGTGAGTTGGTCCTCAAAAGTGAGGTCATCTAACAACTCAGCCGGTTGTAGTGAGTTCAATAGATGTTTTTTGCCGAAAATCGCTGATGTTCCCATATGTTCCCATAGTTTCCCGTGTTTTCCCATATGTTCCCATTAAAAACGGTGATGTTCCCATGAAAACATGGTGAATTGACCATGAAAAATCGGAGAGGCCTGGACCTCTCTGATGGCTTGGCAGCGGCGGAAGCGAAGGCCTGGAGATCTGGAAGTTCATGGGAATATATATATATATATATTGTTTTTTCATATCTCATCTATCCAGATGTTTACATATAGACATATATAGACCATTTTATTCATGGAATAACTCTGTACATATATATTATATATTTGTTAGTTTACCTGTTATGATGTTTATTTGTATTTTTATGTATATGTAGTAGTATATTATGTATGTTATGCATATGAGTATTGTGCATATTCATATTATGCATATTTTCTATAGATCTATAGTAATGTGTATATTTGTATATATACATGAAAATGTATGGCAAATTTGCATGTCCCAGTCCAAGAAACACATGCCAATACATAGGTCATGTATTGATATGAATGATTTCTGTATTGATATGAAATCACAAATTTCCATGTCATTCCAGCACCAAAATCGAGTGTGGATGGCTAGAAATTCAATTTGGTTTGTGAAAAAGAAACTTCCAACAGTATTCTAAACATCTAATATTCCTGCACTTTTCTTGCTGACATGCTGGTTGGCATGCATATATATATATATTATATATATATGTATTATATATTATATATATATTATACATGTAATCATATGTTGATATATACATATGCAAATGATGATAACCTCAAATAGTAATGTTACAAGAAATACAAGTTTGTATGTATATGCATATATACTTTATTACTTTCATATACTATGAACGATCAAACATCCTATAGTAGTTGTTATATTTAAAGACATTGCAATGACAACCTCGAAGACTTGGCATCCCTTATTTTTGTAGAAATTTAAGATGATTTAAATATCACTCAAGAGGACAATGTATCTTGATATTTATGTCTACACATCACATATACATAGATATATAGATATATTTGATGTATCAATTTTAATCGTCCATTCTAACCTCAAATAGTAATAGTGACCGTTCCCATTATACAATTATGTCATACTAAACAGATATCATAATACTGGTATACACTATATATGTCGCAGCAAATACAACTAAATATAGTGCCTTTTTCAATCGTTAATACATGAAGGATATAACCATATTTTAATATATGTATATATGATTAGTTATATAATCACATAATCACATATATATATATATATACACATATCTGATTAATATATGTCCAAAAACAACATGGATATATATATATATACATACATGTTTATACCATTAACTATATAAATATATAACGAAGCTATTTTGTGTATAATTATCACAAAATGATGTGTATTAATATCACTATATGTATAAACCAGTGTATAAACCATTCATATGTTTCCAAAAAAACATAGATATATACAGTAGATATACATATAAACACATATATGGTATTTATATATACATATATATGGTATATACATATATATATATATACATATCTGGTTAATATCTTTCAAATATATATATATATATATAGATATGTCAACCAGATATGTACCTTCTGATTATTTAACATAGCCATGGAAAATGGCCCATAGAAATAGATGGTTTACCTATTCAAAAGGGTGGATCTTTCCATGGCTATGTTAGTCATAACCAGAGGGTACATATCTATTATAGATAGTGGTATCCAT